AGAAAAGAAAAGAAAGAAATTCAGGCATCATTTGGTGAAAGAACGAACTCTGCCAGAAAATACCAGTCAGGTGAGGGAAACAAGCCTGACCCTGAGAGCAGCCCTTGTTTCCTGAAACACGGACAGCACAAGTTGCCTTCGGTTTACAAGACGCTGAATTGGTTTGTTTCTGGGGCACTTAAAAATACTCGGAGTAGCCGAAGCCAGTTTGGCTCAGTGGATAGAGCATTGGACTTGCAGGCCAAAGGGTCCCGGATTTGATTCTGGTCAAGAGCACATACCTCGGTTGCAGGCGCCTCCCCAGCCCAGACCCTGGTTGGTGCATTTCTTTCACATCTATATTTCTGTCTCTGTTTCTCTCTCTCTAAAAATCAGTGGAAAAATATCCTTGTATGGGGATTAAAAAAAAAAAAAAAAGATCCCACACCCTACCCAAGAAAAAAATTCAATGTAATGAGAAATTCGGTAGCAAAATAAACAACCAAAACTTAATGCCTATGCTACAGTTTAAGCATGTTTAACTTCTATTTTTCTCTCTTATCCATTCACCTATGCTGCTGTAAGTTTTTGCTGACTTCTTAAGAGAAAAAGCCTCATGGGAATATCGGTATACAGAATACTTGGGATGAGTAGGCAAGAGTGGATTTAAATTCCTTGATAGGAATGATCATAAAAGCTTTTCAAATATCTTACCTAATTCATTATGGGGTTAGGGTTTTTTGAATTTTACAAAGTGTAGAAATTATATTTTCATGTTATATGCTTTCATGATCAGAATGAAAATTATTAGTAGCTAAGCTACTTGTATTTCTCTGTCTTGTATGATTAAAATAGCTGTTCACTAACAGCAGTATAATTGTACAAGCAACATAATGCCTTGCTTTATTAAAAATTCTGTGGACATTTGAAGAAGTGGAGGGAGAAGGCAGTTTGAATTATGCAACTGTATTTCCCATTTTGTTTAATAAATTGGCTTGGACACAGTGACTCATTGATGTTTTTGATATTTGTAACTGGCACAGCTGGCTTTTAAAATATAACCACTATGCTGCTTTCTACTCCACTTACATGCTCTCACTATATGATAGTTACCTAGACTGTGTTAAATGAATCAAATATTCATGCTGAAAAAGAACTCAATCAAGAAGTTACAGTAATTGTAAGAGCATTTTAAACTAGCAGTTATTAGTTTCTGTTAAATTATTAGTTAAAAATAGTTTTGCTCAGCAATTTCAATATCACTTCAGAGTTGAAGTGAATGAAGGATGGATACCGGGAAAAAAATTCTTATGGGAATTTGGGTCCTCATCTTGCCCTGAGCAGATATAAACTGAGCCTTGTGCTCACAGAAGCAGAGGAAATTATTCTAAGAAAGAGGAAAAAACAAAGATCTGAAGAGAAAGGCAAGACAGTTAGAAAACGAATACTACCCTATTTCCCCGAAAATAAGACAGTGTCTTATATTAATTTTTGCTCCCAAAAATGCACTAGTCTTATTTTTAGGGGATGTCTTATTTTTCCATGAAGAAGAATACGGTACACATTTATTGTTAAATGAAAATAAAGGAAATGTATTACCTGTATACGGTATGGTAGTACGGTAGTTGTCAATACAAACCAGACAAACTGTGAATCCTACAATATCAAGAATTTACTCATTTATTCAATGGCAATCATGTCTTCATCTTCTGGAACATCATCATAACAATCCAATTCCTGAATTTCCTGGTGAATTTCTTGTGACTCCATTTCTTTCAGAATCAGTGGACCAAATCTTTCATGTTTAGCAATAACACTGTCTTTAAATGAGTACTTCTTGTCAAGGTAGCCTGCTCGCAGTGCATTTGCAATGCAACTGTCAGTGATTTTCTCCCATGGATTCTTCACCCAAGTCACAACTTCTTGTAGTTTAGGTTTCACAAAGTTTCCACGCTGATTTCTCTCCATTCTATTTTCAATGTAGTCATTAATTTCCATGTGCAAATTGTCTTTGAATGGCTTGTTTATTGCAATATCAAGAGTCTGGAGATATGCCGTCATTCCTGCAGGAATCATTATCTGATCTATTTTTCTTTCGTGAAGAAGTGTCTTCATATCTTTAGCGCAGTGAGTGCTGGCTGCATCCCAGACTAACAGACCTCTTTGGCTTCCTCGCATAACAGGCGGCAGCATTAAATCGACCCACTTCCTTATAACTGCTAGTGTGGCCCAGGCTTTTTCATTTTCTAGAATAAAAATGCCCAAAATACGTTCAATCTTTTCCTTCTTACCCTTAGAAATGATTAAAGGTGGGATTTTAGTGCCATCCAGACGAATTGCCAAAATACAGGAAACACGTGCACTTTCGTAAGGAGTGGAGGGAATGTATACTAAGGAGGCACCCCGCTGTTCAATTGTTGTTTCAGATGATTGGCCCATAAACACTGCAGTTTCATCCATAGCAATCATGTTGGAAAGATTGTATTTAGAGAAGTCAGCATCATCAGTAACGGACTTGAATGCAAGTACTCACTTAATAACTTGAGTATCTTCCAACCTAAACAATGCTGTAGATCTTCTTAAAGACAGTTCACTTCACTGAAGGAAATTATCCAGCCAGTGTTGTGATGCTTTGAAGTCTTCGGGGGCTATGTCAAACTGTGGTGCCATTGCAAGGGCAAATTCTTGAATCTGAGCCCTATTCATAACCAAAGCCTTTGCTCTCCTGTCAACAACCCATTCACAGATCAGGTCTTCCAGCTAGTAAAATAATGGTTGCCAACCTGATCCACACTTGTGCTTTTTAGCATTTCCCTTGTCCACTTGTTCAATGAGGTTACCATACTCTCCTCGCCGTTTTCAGACCAATCAGAAACTCAACATCTTTTTGTAGAAAGCAGTAAGATTTTGGCCCCAAGAGTCTTCCACGATTCCTTTCTTGTACTCTACAGAGTAGCTTTTTCTTTTTGCGCTCATTTCTAGGGGTAAAAAAAAGGAATTGGGGTATCAAGGTGGGGGGAGGGGGATCACTTAAAATGACACAGGGGGGATCAGAGGGGAGAATCAAAATGGCACAGGAGAATCAGAGGGGGGATTACCATTTTAGTAATCCATTTTGATCCTCCTGTGTCATTTTAAGTGATCCCCCTCCCCCCACCCCTGTGCCACTGAACACCTTCACCAGACATCCCCCCTACCCCTTTATCAGACATTTACCCCCTGGGACCTGCCTGGGACTGTCACTGGGCTTTCTGGGGCCTGGATCTGGGCTGGAGCAGGGTCTGCCACTGACTGAGAACCTTCATTCACCATGAGGGCGGCCGCGAGCATCAGGTAGTGTTACCAGAGACAGACCAGCACTCACCACCTTTGCCGCGTCCCATCTGCTCTAATCCTCCTGTTCTTCTACAAGCATCTGCGAAAGTCTCCTCCTCTCTCCCGCCCCCGCGCTTACCCTCTCACTCCGACCTCCGCTCCCTCTCCACACAGCAGTGATGTCAGGACTCCTCGTAAAGTCACTGGTTGCTAGATGCTAGTCGGGGCAGCTTTAGACCAGTTTATGGAAAATTAATTTTCATTCTGGGACAGAGCCTAGGGGGGCCTTATTTTCGGGGGATGCCTTATATTTCACTCAGAAGGAAACCTGTCAGTAGGTCTTATTTTTCGGAGGATGTTTTATTTTGGGGGAAACAGGGTACTTGTTTTTAGCCTCTCGTCTCTTCCTGAGATGGCAAGAGTTATGCGTTTTGGTTCTGTGATTCATCCTAAATCTTTAGAGCAAAGTTCCCTTTATTTCTTAAGCGATTTCAGGTTAGCTTATTTCCTGAAGAAGAAAGTGTCATAGGTGGTAGTGATACAGCCGAGAACAAAGCAAACGAAGTCTCTGCATTAAGGAGCTTATATTCTGCTAGGAGGAAGCAGACAACAAATTAGCAGATACATGCTAATGGTGTTGAGTCTTTGGTGACCTGATTGAGAGAGAGTGAGGGGGCTAGATGGGTGCATAAGTGCTAACAGGGAAGGCCCCCCGAGAGGAAACACGGAAGCAGAAGTAAAGGACCTGGCATGGGGAGAAGGGGAGTGTCAGATCATTTCAGGCAGAGGAAAGAGCAAGTGTCAGGACACCGAGGCCAGAGCTGCTTAGTGTGTTCAAGGAGCATCAAGAAAGCTTTTGAGTGGCTGGATCAGAGCAAGAGAAAGTGATGGATGAGATCAGAGGGGTGTGTGTAAGAGTTGAGTAGGACTCTAATTCAAAATAATGAGTAAGTCTCTCTTCTGAGTGGAGTGGAAAACTGTGGCAGGATTTAAAGCAGAAGAATGACTTGTGCTTTGAAAGGATCACTAGTTGCTAAATGTAGAATAGGTTGGAGAGTGGTTGAAAGCAGTACAAAAGAGACCAGGTGAGAGAGGATGATGGCGTGGACCAAGGTGCTCCAAGTGGACATAACCAGGGTTCGTCAAATCCTGGATACTTTTTTGAAGGACTGACTGGCATGCTTTGCTGATGGTTTACGTGTACGGTGTGAGGGAACAAATGTTAAGGATGACTCCCAGGTCTTTGGCCTGAACAATTGCAAGGATGGGATTACTATCTACTGAGATAGGGGGGACTTGGGGGTAGGGTGGGTTAGTTTTGAAGTAGTAAGTTTGAGGTGTCTCTGAGACATCTAAGTGGGTATGTCAGTTTGTGCCCTATTGTGAAGTGATTCTCACGAGACTCCGTTCTAGTACTAATTCTCTATAATTTAGTCTTGAAAACTACAACTCAAGATTTCGCTTCCATCCTCTAATCATGTTCCACCATAATACCCTTTATAAGTAATCTCGATCTATATTTACTAAAGCAATTTTACACTCTGGTAATAATTGACTATCTCGTTGGTGTTTCAGAAGGAATAAAAAGAAGCCAAATGTCAATATTTTTGAAGTATATTAACATTAAATGGAGAACTGAATTCGTCTCTCTCTATTTTTTTATAGTTGCTTTGTGTTGTTAATTTTGAAGTAAAAAATTTCAAAAAATGAGTGAACTGGAACAGTTGAGGCAGGAAGCCGAACAACTACGGAATCAGATCCAGGTAAGAGCAATCGTTTTCATTTTCTCAAAAACATTTTTAACATTTTTATCTCATACCAGAAATGAACCAGATTTGTTCATTAGGTCATCAGTCTAGAGATGTTAAATAATTTATGAGACTAGAAATATATATATTAAATATATATATATATATATTTAAAAAATATATATTTTTTATTGAGTTTTTATAGAGAGGAAAAGACAGAGATAGAAAGCCAGAAACATCGATGTGAAAGAAACATCGACCAGCTGCCTCTTGCACACCCCCTACCGGGGATGTGCCCGCAACCAAGGTACATGCCCTTGACCGGAATCGAACCTGGGACCTTTCAGTCCACAGGCTGATGCTCTATCCACTGAGCAAAACCGGTTTCGGCCAGTTCGTTTTTTATCATATCTCTAAAGAACTCTCCAAAAATCATTCCTAACAAATACATATGTTGGACTAATGGCCTCTGTGTCCCAAAGAAGTGAATATCATATATGTAATCCCTCCTGAAAGACAAGCACAATTCTCTTCTTAGTCATAAACCTGGAGTCATAGTTTGATTTTTTTTTTTTTTTTTGTGCAATATGATGAGGCAGATTATCACATTGTAATATACTAAAAATGATTCATCTGTAAAACATTACATTGCAGAAAACATTAAAAATTATTAATGGGCCCTAGCTGGTTTGGCTCAGTGGATAGAGTGTTGGCCTGTGGACTCAAGGGTCTGGGTTCGATTCCGGACAAGGGCATGTACCTTGTTTGTGGGCATATCCCCAGTTGGGGGTGTGCAGGAGGCAGCTGATCAATGTTTCTCTCTCATCGATGTTTCTAACTCTCCCTCTCCCTTCCTCTCTGTGAAAAATCAATAAAATATATATTTTTTAAATTATTAGTGGCATAATAAAGACGTGTCATCTTTTACTCTTGGAAATCAACTCAAAACCCAAAGAGCATAAGAAACAAATACAAGCTCCATCTTGAACACAATAGAAAGACACATTTTGTTGAAAAATGCCATAGGCTTTTATGGTGATTGCATTGAATCTGTAGATTGCTTTGGGTAGTATGGACATTTAAATAATTTTAGGTCTTCTAACCCATGAGCATAAAATATCTTTTCATTTAATTGCATCTTCACTTATCAATATTTTATATTTTTAGTGTTTTGTCTTTTACCTCCTTGTTTAAATTTATTCCTAGCTTTTTAATTTTTTGATGCAATTGTAAATGGGATTGTTTTCTTAATTTCTATTTTTGATAGTTCTTTATTAGTATATAGATATACAACAAATTTCTGTATATTGATTTTTAAAAAATATATATTTTATTGATTTTGTACAGAGAGGAAGGGAGAGAGATAGTTAGAAACATCGATGAGAGAGAGTCATCGATCAGCTGCCTCTTGTACACCCCCTACTGGGGATATGCCCACAACCAAGGTACATGCCCTTGACCGGAATCGAACCCGGGACCCTTCAGTCCCGAAGCCGATGCTCTATCCATTGAGCCAAACCGATTTCGGTTGTATATTGATTTTTGAATTCTGCAACTTTATTGAATCCATTTATTCTAACAGTTTTGTGTGTGTGTGTGTGTGTGTGTGTGTGTGTGTGTGTGTTTAGGACTTTCTATATATCATACTGTGTCATCTACAAATAGTGACTTTTTTGCTTCCTCCCTTCCCCAGCCCCACATTTATTTTATATAGAAAGGGAGAGGGAGAGAGAGATAGAGACATCAATGATGAAAGAGAATAATTAATCAGTTGCCTCCTGCAGGCTCCCAACTGGGGATCAAGCCTGCAACCCAGGCATGTGGCCTGATGGGGAATCAAATTGTGACCTCCTGGTTCATAAGTTGATGCTCAACCAATGAGCCATGCTGGCCAGGCCTTTTACTCTTCCTCCTCCTCCTCTCCCTTCTCCCCCCCCCCCCCCCTTTATTTATTTATTTATTTATTTACTTATTTATTTATTTATTTATGTATTTATTTTTGCCTCATTGCTATTGCAAGGACTTCTAGTACTATGTTGAATAAAAGTGGTGAGAGAATGAACATTCTTGTTTAGTTTCTGATCCTAGAGGAAAAGCTTTCAGCTTTTCACCAGTGAGTATGATGTTAACTGGGGGCTTGTCATATATATTATGAGGTATGTTCCCTCTGTGCCTACTTTGTTGAGAGATTTTTTTTTTTTTTTTTTTTTTTTACTATATATGGATGTTGAGTTTTGTCAGATGCTTTTTCTGAGTCTATTGATGATTATATGATTTTTATTTTTCATTTTGTTAATGTGGCGTATCACATTGATTTGTAGATATTGAACCATACTTGCATCTCTGGAATAAATCCCACTTGATCATGCTTTTAATGTATGGTTGAATTCCATTTGCTGATATTTTGTTGAGATTTTTTGCATCTACGTTCATCCATGGATATTGACTTGTAATTTTCTTATGCCATTCTTGTCTGGAATGACTGGCCAAGCACATGGCCATGCATCCAACCAGGACTGAGGATCAAACCTGCAACTCAGTTACATGCCCTTGACTGGGAATTGAACTCGCGACTCTTGGGTGCTTAGGCCAACACTCTAACCACTGAGAAACACTGGCTAGGGCAACAGATTTATTTTATTTTATTTAATCCTCACTGGTTTTAAGAGAGAGTGAAAGGGAGGGAGGGAGAGGGGAGAAAGAGAGAGAGGAAAACAAACAAACAAACATCAGTGTGAGAGAGACACATCCATTGGGTGCTTCCTACACGAGCCCATACTTGGGCTAGGGATCAAACCTGCAACCCAGTTTTGTGCCCTTGACTGGGAATGAACCCATAACCTTTTGGTTTGTGGACCGACTCTCTAACCACTGAGCAAACCTGCCAGGGTGGCAACTGATTTCTTAATTGAGTGACTGGATTAAGAAGATGACCTAAATGACATAGTTCATTTCATAAAGCTTAAAATCAGGGAGCCCTTTTTTAGAATTTAGTCTGCAAGTCCACCATTTTTGGAACATGGTTCAGGCCATCACTGTCATTTCTGGAAATTCTTTTCATTGCAGGAAAGTGGGCTAAGTCATTCCTTGCCAAATGAGGTTTTCTTAACCCACAATTTGACTAAGAATGAGAGAATCAAATCGTATGTTTGTATAACTACTTATAACACCCTGACATGGAAATATTCTAAGGGTTTATAAATAGGTTGGAAGGGCAGCCAGAAAGATTATGCATTCCATCTAGTCTTTGCTGCAAGTGGAGGCAGGCCTTTTTCCCCTCGGCTGTGGAACACGTCCACCTGGCACATTTATTCAACAAATACTGTGTGCTTCCTCTTCACACGAGCACGCTAAGCGCAGTAGGGAAAAACAGAGTTGAAAAGGACACTACCCTAACACTTGAAGGGGGGAAAGTTTCAAGTCTAGTAGGAAGAATCAATTGCACTTCTGATTTTCCCATGTATATGAAGTCTCTAAATTTATTATTACACTTGATTTAAAACATTTTTTTGCTTATTATACATGTTCTTTCCTTATTTTGTTATATTGATTTCTGTTTAGTTATCTTCCTTTTGATAATTCCCTTCAGTTTGTGAAAAAGTTTAAGATCTCTGAAAGTCTACCCTATAATGCTTAGGCGTAAGCATTAATTAATGCTATTAATTAATGCTATTAATATAAATATGTAGTTGTGCAACTTAATATAAACTTTGGTGATTATATAAACATTGTTTTTCCTGAAATGCCATGTCTTTTTTCTTATATTGAATCTAAAATATTTTATTTCTAATAGCATCTGTATCCAGTGTATTGGAAAGCATTTCCATAGAAGTGCTATGTAGTTTTAAAAACATTTCTGAAATGACCTGGGTTATACTATAAATATCATTCCTATCACCTCGACTTCTAGATGCCAGAATAAACAGAAGGGCAATTCAGATCTCATGCTTTTGCTGCAGCTTAGTAACAAATATAACTGAGTATACTGTGACCTTATTAAATCAACCTAGTTCATTGTTACTCAGGGAATACAATTAAAAATCTCTTAGTCATAAACTCAGTATACATTTGCACAATGAAATACAATAGGGAGTCCATAAGTAAGTCAATTAGCCAAAGATATATGGTTTTTCAAGAAGGGTAACAAGACCATTCAATAGGGAAAGAATAATCCCTTTTAAAAATGATGCTAGTACAACAGGTTATCCACACACACAAGAATGAATTTGGACTCCTACATCACATCGTGTAAAAAAAATGAACTCAAATGGTACCCAAATATCACAGCTAAACGTGTAAAATTCTTAGAAGTTAAATAGCTGTTAATCTTTGTGACCTTAACTTAGGTAACAGTTTAATATGCCACTAAAAGCACAAGCAACTAAAGAAAAAAATAGACTTCATGAAAAGTTAAAAACTTGTATGTCAGAGGACACTATCAAGCAAATGGAAAGTCAGCCTACAGAACGTGAGAAAGTTTGTAAATCATACACCTGATAAGGGCCTAGTCAGAATACTACAACTCCTACAACTCAACAATAAACAACCCTCCCTGTATTAAAAATGGACAAAGGATTTGAATAAACAGTTATCCAAATTAGATACACAAATGGCAGGTATTCACATGTAAAAATTCTCCACATGAAAAGATGCTCAATATCTCTAATCATGGGTGAAATCAAAACCTCTAGATACAACTTCACTTCCACTAAGATGGCTGTAACAATACAAATTAAAAAAAACAGCAACAGTGTTGGTGAGGATGTGAGGACATTGGAGCCTTCCTGTTGGGACTATATAATGGTGCAGCTGCTATGATGAACATTTGACAGTTTCTCAAGTTAACAAAAACTTGTACGTGAATGTTCAATGCATTATTATGCATAAAAGCCAGAAAATTGAAGTAACTTTAATGTCCACCAATTAATTAATGGATGAACAAATGTCATATCTACACTAATAAAAGAAAAACATGCAAATCGACTGCTCCTCTGCTATGACCACCAGCCAATCAGGAGTGAATGTGCAAATTAACCCAAACAAATGTGGCAGTTAATTTGCATAAGCAGGCATGGACTGAAGACTGAAGACAGCGTAGAAGGAAGCCAAGCGCTGCAGAAGTGAGTGAGGCAGCGGAGATGGGAGGGAGTAAGGCAGTGGAGACGGGAGGGAGCGAGGCCACAGGAAGACCTATTCTTGCAGGAATCTTCTTGCAACAGGCCTCTAGTTTCCATATAATGGACTATTACTTGGGTATAAAAAGAAATGAAGTACTGATATGTACTTCCACCCTATGGAACCTTGAAAACATTATATTAAGTGAAAGAAGCCAGACACAAAAAGTCATCTACTTCATGATTCCATTTTTTTCCCCTCTTATATTGATTTTTTTTACAGAGAGAAAGGGAGAGGGATAGAGCGTTAGAAACATCAATGAGAGAGAAACATTGATCAGATACCTCCTGCACACCCCCTATTGGGGATGTGCCTGCAACCAAGGTACATGCCCTTGACCGGCATCGAACCAGGCACCTTTCAGTCCGCAGGCCGATGCTCTATCCACTGAGCCAAACCAGTATGGGCTGTACAATTCCATTTTTATAAAATATCCAGAATAGGCAAATCCATCGAAGTAGAAAAGTAAATTAATGATTACCAAGGAATGAGGGAAGAGGGTTTCTCTGTTTGAAGTGGTGGAAATGTTCTGGAATTAGGTAGTGGTCATGGTGAATATACTGATCACTCGATTATACACCTTCAAGATGACTTAAATGGTTAACTTTGTGTTATGTGAATTTTATCCCAATGAAAGTTGTTTTGAATAAAGATTATGTGGTACAGTAAGAACAAATTTGCAATGAAAATGTTAAGTTGTGCCTAGTGATTTCCATGTCTAAACGTTTTATCGTCCTCTTTCTTTTCTTCAGGATGCCAGGAAAGCATGCAATGATGCAACACTTGTTCAGGTAAAGTCTTCATCCCCACCCCAGCTCCCAGTCCCCACCTATTTACTTTAGTAATTTCCATGAGCCAGCTTTGCACCAATGCAAATGACATTCAGATTCTTTCCTATTAGTATTTAATTGAAAAAATGAGATCTCTAAAAACACTTCATTATTTGTCAGATGCTGTACAAATGCTTTTAAAAGCACATTTGTTAAAATAGAAGGCTGTGGAAAATAAATACTACAAAATATGTAGATTCTTTTGTTTCTTTTTAAGGAGCTTCTTGATTCTTTTAGATATACTCTGATTAAGCTTTTTATTTGGCTAATTAACATTAGAAATTTTCATTAAGAAATGTTTTATGTACTTTACAAACATAAAACTGGCTTTCTTATAGGCAATTAAAATTATAAATGTTTTACTCTTTGATCATCTACCATCAGATTTTTATTTGGGCTGTTTTTTCCGTAAAGTTGGGGAGTATGTCTATTCTTTTCAGTTAATAGTCTACAGAAGATATTCTTACTACCATGTTTCCCCGAAAATAAGACATCCTCCAAAAATAAGACCTAACGCATGAAAAGATAAGACATCCCCTGAAAATAAAACCTAGCGCAACTTTGGGAGAAAAAATTAATATAAGACACAGTCTTACTTTTGGGGTAACAGAATAGAAGGCATGCATGTAGCATAGTTTTAAATCAGTTATACTTTTTCTTGAACTACATATTGATCCTGTAATTACTCAGTGGAATTATTTATATTGAATTACCTTCAATTCCTCTAAATTTATTTTATGCCTGATTTCTTTTTTTTTTAGTTTTTTTTTTAATTTCAAGAAAACTATTTTAAATATAATAATGTTACATGCAATAAACACACATTATTCAAGAAAATTATATATAATAATATTACATACAATAAACATTAATATTTCAAGAATAAAAGGATTTTAAATATAATAATATTACCCTCTATTAACATAGTATGATATCACAAAAGTTGTAGGAAATATTAAAAATCTGCAAATAACAAGGTTACTTCTAGTATGTTTCCCCTCTGGCTCTATTTTTGTTCATCAGTTTATGTGTTATTCATTATGTTCCACAAATGAGGGTGAGCTCATATGATATTTATCTTTCTCTAACTGGGTTATTTTGCTTAGCATGATGTTTCTAAAGTATTTTGTTGGATATGAGTATTGCTGTTTCCAGCTTTTTTTTTTTTTTCCATTTGCATGAAAAAATTTTTTTCCCACCCCTTCACTTTTATCCTGAGTGTGTCTTTTGTTTTGAGCTGGGTCTCTTGTAGTCAGCATATAGTTGTGTCATGTTTTTGTGTCCATTCAGCTCCCTACACCTTTTGATTGGAGCAATTAGTTCATTTACATTTAGGGTTATTATTGAGAGGTACTTATTTATATCCATTTTAATTCTGTATAGCTAGGTTTTTCTCTCTGTTTCTTCTTCTCAGCAATCCCTTTAGCATTTCTTGTAATGCTGGCTTTGGTGGTGATAAACTCCTTTAACCCTTTTTTTTTTTTTTTTTTTTCTGGGAGCTCTTTATCTGACCATCTATTTTGAATGACAGCCCTGCTGGATATAGTAATTTTGATCTTAGATACTTGCTTTCCAATTACCTTGAGTACTTCATGCCATTCCCTTCTGGCCTGTAGAATTTCTGATGAGAAATCAGATATCAGCCTTATGGGAACTCCTTTGTAGGTAACAGTTTTCACTTTTTCTTGGTGCCCTTAAGTTTCTCTCTTTTTCTTTAATTTTTGGCATTTTAATTATGATGTATCTGAGCATGTGTCTGTTTGGGTTCTTCATGTTTGGGGTTCTCTGTGCCTCCTGAACTTGTGTGACCTTTTCCTTTATCAGGTTAGGGAAGTTTTCTACCATTATATCTTCAAATACCTTCTCTATTCCTTTCTCCTTTCCTGCCTCTTCTGGCACACCTTCTATTCTAATATTATTATGTTTCTCATTGTCCCACAGCTCCCTTAAGCTGTCCTCCTGTTTGTTTGTTTTTTGTTTGTTTGTTTTTTAACATATTTTATTGATTTTTTGACAGAGAGGAAGAGAGAGGGATAGAGAGTTAGAAACATTGATGAGAGAGAATCATCAATCAGCTGCCTCTTGCACCCCCCCCACTGGGGATGTGCCCGCAACCAAGGTACATGCCCTTGACCAGAATCGAACCTGGGACCTTTCAGTCCGCAGACCGATGCTCTATCCACTGAGCCAAACCGGTTTTGGCTGTCCTCCTGTTTTTTAAATTTTTTTTTTCTTTTTGATTCTCTAATTGAGTGATATTTTCGCTTTTTCTTCAAATTCACTGATTTGATCCTCATCTCCTAATCTGCTGTCTATTCCTTCTAATGTGTTCTTTATTTGTGTTATATCATTTTTGATCTCAAACTTTTATTTTTTCATAGTTACTATATCTTTTTTCATACTGTTGAGCATTTTTAACATCATTATTCTCAACTCTGTTTCAGATAAATTTCTTATCTCTGCTTCATTTATCTCTTCTGAAGAATTCACCAGTTCTTTCATTTGGGGGTTGTTTCTTTGTTTTCTCATGTTGGTTGTCTGTTTTGGTTTGTGACTATGTTTTAGATAGATCCTCTACAACTCTCAATCTCTAGTGCAGGACAGTGTTTAAGGCTGTTTCTTGCTAATTGGATCAGGCAAAGACTCAAAGCCTCCAGAGACCATCTCTGTTACAGACTAATAGGATTCCAACTTGAATTGCCCCCAGGCATTCATCTTCAGGTGTGGTGAGAGTTTTTTCAACAGGGTGGGGCAGTTGCTTCTGCCTGGAGGTTAATTATTACTTTTAATCTCTTACATGGCCTCAAGGCAAGATGTTTTCCAATTGACTGTCTTCCCTCCAGGCGAGGCAGATGTATATGTGGGAAAGATGTCTTCCACTGTGTGAGGGAATGACTCAGCCCAGGAAACTTGGGGTGTCTGCCAAGTCTCCAGTCCTGGGTTCTGCTCTCACAGATCCAGTCTGCTTCACTCTCCCTCTGCTGGAGCACAAGATGGGTTGCTCCAGAGGGAACTTAGTGTATTGTCCCTTTAAGGGGGTACCGAACTTTTAGCTGCCCCTCCCTGGCAGACAGCACCCCACTGCTTTTCATAGCTAGAAGTTATGTGGGTACCCTCTTCAGTTTGGTGCTCTGTGCTGAGAAGCCCAGCTTGGAGATTAGATCCAAGAGTTCTCAGTGGCACCCCCCTCCACCCCTCTCACAGCTGAGATATTTCTCTGGGCTTCAGTTGCTGTCTGTGAGTGGCCAGCCAGCCCTTTCATGCCTCTGCCCCTCATACCAGTCTCTGTGTGGTCTCCACCTTCGGTCCTTGGGTATCAGGGTTCTCTCCTGTGATTTTCCGTTGATTATTCAGGAAGCCTTTCCGTATTTCAGTTGTAATTTTAGCTTGTTCCTGGGAGCGTGTCCGTGCAGTATCCTCCTACTCTGCCGCCATTGTTTATCCCTTCTTATGCCTGATTTCTTGCCTAATAATTGTTTTTACTTTATTTTCTGAGCTATGTCTAAGGTAAAGAATAATATTCATATCACTTTCTAAAGATCACATCAAACATGGATTCCGTGGGTCGGATACAAATGCGAACAAGACGTACGCTGAGGGGGCACCTCGCTAAAATCTATGCCATGCATTGGGGCTATGACTCAAGGTTTGTACATGCTATCTCCAGACTATCCACAGAATTATATTCGTTAAGAATCTCCATTTGCATTTCCTTTAAAATAAATAATTTTACAGTTAGCAAACAACTATATTTATGAAAATGCATCCATTATGAGACTTTGTTTTCATGAAAAATAACCAGTGACACTTCAAAAGTTTAGAAACATTTACTATGGAAATAAATTTATATCTCAAAAAATATCCATTATTAAATTATCCAGGTAAAATGTGTAGGGTTTCTTTTCTTTGCAGTGTTCATACTGTTGTTTACTATGCCAAAAGCAGTTCTATTGTATATTGACCTTGCAATTTCAGTTAATAAGCAAATATTGTTGAATATTGCTATGTACAAGTTCCTGGATATTGCTGTAATTATTGCCTAAATTCACAAAGGATGGAAATACATATGTATTGTTAGCTCTACAAATTGCATTTTTCAAGATGCATTATCTTTTGTGAGACTACTTGGTTAATTCAAATAGCAGTTATGTTTCCATCTTTTACTTTGGCTTTTATTTTATGCTACTCTTCTGACAGTTTTCACTGACTTGATTTCTTATATGTGTAAATATCTTATCTACCAGGTAGTGGAGGCCTCAAAGGTAGGAAGTATTTTCCGTGTGTACCCATTACACTACCTTCACATTTCAATTGATACTTTTCGGTTGAATGAAATATGGTTTTTAGGCTTACATGTACTCTATTGTCATTAAATTTATATCACTAAACACAAACCAGTCAGCTGATACCTACCAGAATCTTGAATAAGAATCCAGAATGCTATCACCATGAAAGACTTGAATCATAACCAGACATTTTTAGTAAAATGTGTAAATTTTGCTAAATTTTTATGTTATAATGAAAATTTTGGCATGCCGAATACATTTCTGTTAAAGTTGGAAGGCTGTTTTCTGTTATCAAGTTTTTAATTCAAGAAATTATATATATTTTTCTGAACTGTTCTGCATTAATGCCATTTATAATTAATCTAACCTACTTTTTTCCTCTAAGTGTCCAATTATTTTTGTTTGTTCTCTAGGCTACTAGTCAGTGCTTCCCAAGATGGAAAATTAATTATTTGGGATAGCTATACAACAAATAAGGTAGAATTTCTTAATCATTCTCTTAAATAACCTATTACTTGATTTGATGTTCATCAGTTCTTTCCTTTATTCTGTTGCTTCCAACTGTAATTTTCTCTAAGATAAATTTATTCTATTTAATCTAGATCCTCTCTTGAAGCTTAGGCTTTATTTTAATATTTGGCCCTATTTTCATGCCCAAGAACAACTGCAGGGATATTTTTCAATGTGTTTTACTAGACTTTCATATTCCATATTTGAATATTAAAATAGAATGTGTGTCAGTTTTACATAGAAATAATTTCCTAAACAAACTCTCATTCCCCGATGTGACATGACCCTGAGATTCTTATTTCTAGCTGTGGGTGAGGAAGCTTTTCGTTGGTCCACTCTAGGCATTGATGTGTGTTTGGGGGCTGGGAAGAGACAGTGGACAACTCGCTTAGACCTTCTCTGGGCAAGCCAGCAGGTCCCCCTGGTGTGTCCCCTAGAAGGAATGCCTGACACACAGGTGCTCAGTGGGAGTAGAAAAGCTTCAGGAAACATTCACAGGTCAAATTCCTGTAGGTTCTGTGTACTCTTTTATTAAAGTTTAAAAAGTATTACTTTGTGAAATAAACAGTATCTTCAGCCTGTTGAGATTTTAAAAGTAGCCAAGACAGATTTGCATTATAACAGTTCTTCTATATTAAGTCACATTAAACATGAATCTTTCAATTATATTTTCCTAAAACAAACAAAAAAAAAGTGTATTGAAAATATTTTAAGTTAAGTGAGAGCGCAGTAGCAATCACACACAATGTGTTGATTCTCTGTACGGACCACTTAGCCTTTCAAGTCCCATACACGTAAATTTTACTGCACGACATGCTGATGATCGGTGTTGGGTGAGAAGGCACCAGACAGTGTATGAGTAGGTTGTGGAAATTCTTCCTATTGTTTAAATTTGAGCCCTATGAGTAGAGGAACCATCTCTTCATGGAAGAACCATTTTAATAGACTCTGATACTTATATTACTCAATGTTATGTTGGAGGAAATTCCTCTTTTGCACAGGATTGCAAAAATTTTAAGAATTTTATTACATTTTTTATCTTTAATGTTTTCATTTAATATTTTAAGTTGTTATATTGCATTGAAATATCTTTGTTCTTGCCGAAACCGATTTGGCTCAGTGGATAGAGCGTCGGCCTGCAGACTGAAGGGTCCTAGGTTTGATTCCGGTCAAGGGCATGTACTTGGTTGCAGGCACATCCCCAGTGGGGGATGTGCAAGAGGCAGCTGATCGATGATTCTCTCTCATCGATGTTTCTAGCTCTCTATCCCTCTCTCTTCCTCTCTGTAAAAAATCAAATATATATATATATATATTTTAAATGTCTTTGTTCTTGGTTCTCTTAAAAGAATAATTTCTGAAAAGAGCAGTTAAATTGAATTATTTGTAATACAGAAAAAAATAATAGGTATTTCAGTGTGCATTACTATTTTATTTTTCAGTGTTCTCTTTCTCAATCCATTGCATTCTTTATTTTACCTTAATTTTTAGGTGCATTTAATTTTTCGTAGTATTTGCTTCTTTGTAAATAGGCAGGAAGATGAATGACTGTCGTTCCTTAGTGATGGATTTTTGTGCATTCCATTTATTCTGCAGATGCATGCCATTCCTCTGAGGTCTTCCTGGGTGATGACCTGTGCTTACGCCCCCTCTGGTAATTACGTGGCTTGTGGAGGACTGGACAACATCTGCTCTATCTATAACTTAAAGACCAGAGAGGGGAATGTGAGAGTGAGCCGAGAGTTACCGGGCCACATAGGTGAGCTTCACTGAATATTGTTCTGTTTTTCTTAAAAAGGTATTATTTTTGTGAAGATGATAAATTTATTGCAAAAAAAAAATTACATAGTAATGAAAATATAAAAAGAAAGCAAATGTTATTTTCTGTATTCTCTGCAACCATATAAATCCATAGAATTTTGGTATATATACTTGATTATGTAACAAAGTATAAAGATTAGAGACCCAGTGCATGGATTTGTGCACCACTGGGGTCCCTTGGCCTGGCCTGCAGGATTGGGCTGAAACCGGCTCTCCAACATCCCCCAAGGGGTCCCGGATTACAAGAGGGCTCAGGCCAGGCCAAGGAACCCCACTGATGCATGAACAGAGTTGGAAGAAATGCAGGAGGTTGGCCAGCTGGGAAGGGACTGCAGGAGGGCTCTAGGGTGTGTTCAGCCTATCTGGTTCATTCCTGATCAGCTGGACCTCAGCAGTAAGCTAACCTGGTCAGAGCGTCTGTCCGCTTGTGGTCAGTGCACAGCATAGCAAGCTGTTGAGCTACCTTAGCATATCATTAGCATATTATGCTTTGATTGGTTGAATGGCCAACTGCTCAGTTGGTTAGAGTATTGTCCTGATACACCAAGGCACTTGCAGGGAGCAACCAAAGAATGCATAAATAAGTAGAACAACAAATTGATGTTCCCCTCTCTCTCACTATATATGTATATTAGTATTTCATATGCTATTTGGGTTATTTAATCAATTATAACCGAAAACAATGTTACTCTCTATGCTATAGGCTACTTGTCCTGCTGCCGTTTTTTAGATGACAGCCAAATTGTTACAAGTTCAGGAGATACAAATTGGTGAGTGTATTTCAGAAGAACACTGATTTGGGTGTTGAGGTTGATAGCAGGAACTACTGTAAGAAGACATAACGGACATTATTTTTATTCATTATTCATTGCAGTGCCCTATGGGACATTGAAACTGCCCAGCAGACCACGACGTTCACTGGGCATTCTGGAGATGTGATGAGTCTGTCTCTGAGTCCCGACATGAGGACTTTCGTGTCTGGTGCTTGTGATGCCTCTGCCAAGTTATGGGATATCCGAGATGGAATGTGTAGACAGTCTTTCTCTGGACATGTGTCAGATATTAATGCTGTCAGTGTAAGTGAATAGCATTCCTAAGGGACATTTATTGTGCGTTTAAAGTATGAACTCTGTAACATGATTTTCATAACTCATTGTCTTCAAGGATCCTTACAGTTTATAAATTCTTATAATCTGCTCTTATGACATTGAATTCCCAGATAGTAAGGGTTTGATTTAAAAAAGAAAAAACCAGCTCTGGCCAGTATGGCTCAATTGGTTGGGTGCATCTTGTGTACCAAGAGGTTGTGGGTTCGATTCCTAGTCAGGGCATAAACCCAGGTTGTGGGCTGGATGCTAGATAAGAAGCATGCAGGAGGCAGCTGATCGGTATTTTGCTCCCTGTCCTTTTCCTTTCTCTCAAAATCAGTAAAAACACATCCTCGAGTGATTTTATTAAAAAAATTAAAAAGCGCCCTAACTGGTTTGGCTCAGTGGATAGAGCATTCGCCTGCGGACTCCAGGGTCCCAGGTTCTGTTACGGTCAGGGCATCTATCTTGGTTGCAGGCACATCCCCAGTGTAGGGTGTGCAGGAGGCAGTTGGTTGATATTTCTAACTCTCTCTCCCTCTCCCTTCCTCTCAGTAAAAAATCAATAAAATATATTAAAAAATAAAAAAGAGTACACTTATGTAGGTTCTTTAAATAGTAATATTTACACTTAAATATTTTAATAAGACATATGGAGGACCAGAACTAATATTTACTGAATTAGTTGCTATGTGTTAAACAACAGGCTGTGTGCTCAGCATATATTATTTCATTCAATCTTAACTCACACTCTAAAACTGAAACTAAGGCCCAAAGTGTTGAAGAATCTTTAGTGCCCAACAGCACTCACTGGTAAGAAGCCAGGTTGGAATTTGAATCTAGGTCTGTTTTTTACCCCAGAGCCTGTTATTACACTGTCTCATGTGGTTTTTGTACATGTCCATGTAATACATGTTTATTGCTTTTCTTTCTAGTTTTTTCCAAATGGCTATGCCTTTGCCACTGGCTCCGATGATGCCACTTGCCGTCTCTTTGACCTTCGTGCAGACCAAGAATTACTATTGTATTCTCATGACAATATTATCTGTGGGATCACCTCCGTAGCCTTCTCAAAAAGTGGGCGCCTCCTGTTAGCTGGTTATGATGACTTTAATTGTAACGTGTGGGACACACTGAAAGGAGATCGTGCAGGTTAGTACCTATGTCCACATTACGTGTGGGTTTTGTCAGGGAACGCAAAAGGTTCCCGACCGCCGTCAGAGGCTCTGGATACCCTGGATTTGGGAATGGCAGCCCAGCTGTTCTTACACATGGTCATTGTTCCCATGTTCTCTGAGATGGATTTTCCACTTTCCTCCCTGGAATGGATAAACTGGTTGCCAAGTTTAGGGCTGATTTCAGGAGGAAAGCTGGGTGGTAAAACAGCAAGTCAACTTTCCTTATGCCCCATTTTCAGCATAGTTCCACCAATCTCAACTGGGCCTGTTTTTTTTGTTTTTTTGTTTGTTTTTGTTTTTTTCCAGTTAAGAGATTCTTCTTTACTCTCCAGCAAATAAGTCTCTACAATCCCATGTCTTGGTGCACGCTGGAGTCACCTGGCTCTGCAGCGCAGGACATCGGGGAAGGCTGATTCCTGAACACTTGCTAGCATCTGCGTTTGCCCCAGCTCTGCCGCCACCTGGTTCCACAGATAGATGCCCGAGCTCACTAGGACCTGCCCCTTTGGGAGGTTCTGCAGCGTAATTCTGTTTCTGGGCTTACCAGGCCATTTGCTATGAACTGAGCATGTTAGGGTGCACTAACACAGTCCCCACCATCCAGCTTTGTAGCCATTGCCTGCTTTCATACCCTTATTGTCTTTATGGGATTTTGTCCTTACCCTTTAAAATTCCTAAGCAGTTCTTGAGGTTTTTGAGGGAGTAAAAGTACATGAACATTCCCAGGAGTAATTTTTTTAAGACATTATAGAGAAGTTCACATTGCATTTTGGTGCTTTCCGTTGCCCAAAGCCAATTACTTTTTGGAAGTATTAGGTGTTTTGCCTGGGTTGAATCAATTAGCACCCATAACAAAACGAAAATGTATTTGTTTCCTATATTTTTAAACATATGCTTTAATTTAAAACTTGCCATCGCTATTTACTGGCTTTGTTTTTCAGGTGTTCTTGCTGGTCATGACAACCGGGTCAGCTGTCTGGGTGTAACTGACGATGGCATGGCTGTGGCAACAGGCTCATGGGACAGTTTTCTTAGAATCTGGAATTAACCGTGCATACAATTTTGCTGTTCTCTATTGTTATCGGTAGAAATCAGTGCTACAGCCTATAGCTGTGATAAGAAAAAAAAAATTCTGTCTTATATTTGCGGTTGAAAATTTTTCTATTGAGATTACTACATACAAAAGGAAGCTTCCAGTAAACTACAAAACTGAAAAGGATGAAAAAAAAAAAAAAAAAAGAAAAAAGGCAAAGGTGCTTGCTAAGATCAAAAGGACCAGTGCATTGAGCTCATTTAACCTTGAAGTTTTGCTTTCACTGTCTATTGTTTTGTTTGTGTATTATAGAACAAAATGTACACATTATAGCAACCTGTCATGTTCGCTTTCATTGATGAACTTCATTTTAAACTTTGTATACACCAAAAATGTCACCCCCCCCCCCCCCCCCCCCCCCGTAATGGGGAGATCAGGCACAGTAATAGGTGGAGGTAATACCATGTGTCTGTCCTTAAGTTTGAAGAGTCTCCTTGAATTCTGACATCCCTTTTTAATTTAAAAGATCCTGGTTGCTTACTGTGTTAAGAATGCTGACAGGTAGGTGCCTGAGGAGAGCCCTTTTGAGTTTCATTAGTTTCTTGATGCATTCTTTGCCATCTTATCAGTTTACATAAGTGCTCATTTCAGTCCTTTGAGGGGAAGATAATCTGAAGGGTCGGGGATGGAGATTTCACTCCGAAACTTCAGACATATGTAAGGAACTTTATTAATAGGTGGACAGCAATAATCTCATATAAATGATTCTTGGCATTTTAAAAAGCAGATTATGATCAAATAACACTCTGGGTAATCCTCTACATAGCTGAACTTTCCTATTGGTTTCATATTCCAGAACTGAGTTTGTAGAGTATACTCATTATTCCAGGACGTGGATGAACACTTGGATTGTCCTTGCACTTGAAGAACTTTCCCCAGTGTTCTGTCAGCATCTAAACCTAAGGAAATAGGATAGCATTGTTTTGCAAAGTGTAAAATCTAACCAATCACTAGATCTGAGTAGTTATAGTTGTGATGGGGTGGCTTTAAGAATTCATGTTCACACATATGAAATCGGAATTGATGTACTGTCACATTTTAAAAGGGAAACATTTAAGCTCTGCTTTTTGAATTTCTTTCCTTCACACAAAATACTGGTTTCTAAGTGGTGTGGCTCTGCTTTGAAGAATGGCTAGATCCAAGTGGCTCCATTTTAAGGCCAAAAGGAAAATTCCAAGAGTAAGTACTAAAGGAGTCAGAAGAAAATATGAAGCAAGTCATCCTGCTGCTTGTCAATGGAATAAAATGTTGTCTATTACTAGATTGAGCCATCATGAATTTAAACAAAGATACTCTCCCCCTTGGATTTTCTCCTACAAATAAATCTGAATGATTGCCATGGGAAGATTGTTAGTCTGCTTGATGGTGAAGTCATGGGTTATCCTGATACATTATAGAAGTGTACTGTTAAATCAATAAACTGTCACTGTTGAGTTAGGTCTCTGTTAACTTTTGATTACCTGGAACCCTAAATACTCCCATTTTTTATGTCAATTCTCATTTTTATATCGTGAATGTGCTAGTAAGTGCACCAACTATAGAAGTCAGTTTTAATATCAGTTGATATTGAAGAGAATAAAATGAAAAAAGATTAAGATATGGGTCCAAAAAACATACTTGACAGGCATGAACATATATTCATTTATACACAGATTTCTATGAACTTTTTGCTATTAATATTTGTGGGCTATATCACTTCGTAAAGAGAAGCTCTTTGAGAACAGACAAGAGTATTGTAAAGCAAAATACAAAAGGGGGTGAGGGTATGCCATGTAATTCAGCTATTCATTCCAAAATCTTAAGCACTTCTGCCATGTGAAAATAGCCTTGTGTAGAGAGCAATCCCCTCTGTAAAGTTATTCTAGGAACTTTAGTGAGAGGCACACAAACTATAGTTCTATGGTCGTAAACATGCTGATCAAAATGATTTCTTTTACTGTGATTAGTTTATGTGGATAGCTGAAAAGCAATTTCCATAATTAAATATGTACCAAGTAACTGAAACTTAAGATAATGGCTAATTACACATGACCAGATGGTAACCTCCTTATCACATTTATTAAATTTTTGCTTCCCAGTAATAAGGGTTCTAGTTGGTAAATATATTTACTTGCAATTTAAGTTCAGCTGATTAATTCTGTTGTTCATGAGACTTCCTGATGTCCAAAGAACAATGTATAATTCATAGAAACACTGTAGCTTGAATTTTAGTTTTTGAAGACTTAAAAAATATGGCCAAATGTAGTTTTAAAGAACTTGTATCATCAAGAATATGGCCCTGGCCAGTTTGGCTCAGTGGATAGGGGATCGGCCTGCGGATTCAATGACCCCAGGTTCGATTCCGGTCAAGAGCATGTACCTAGACTGATGATAAGAACAGACCCGGAGATGAGTTATGGGTCAGATTGTTGGACCTCAAAGGGAGGGTGGGAATAAAGGGGAGAAATCAACCAAAGGATTTGTGTGCATACATATGAGCCTAACCAATGGTCAAGGACAATAGGGAGTGAGGGCATAGTGGGGAGAAGTGGGGGATTGGAATGGGGGGTTGAAGACAAATATGTGATACCTTAATTAAAAAAAAAAAAAAAAAGCATGTACCATAGTTGCAGGCACATACCCAGTAGGTAGTGTGCAGGAGACAGCTGATTGATGTTTCTCATCGATGTTTCTATCCCTCTCCCTCTTAAAAAAATCAGTAAAATATATTAAAAAAGAGAAAAAAATATGGCTGGTTTGGCTTAGGGGTAGGAGCATCAGCCGCCAACCAAAAGGTCATAGGTTTGATTCCTGGACTAAGGCACATAAGTTGATTGCAGTTGGGTCTTGGCCCCTGTTGGGGAATGTGCAAAAGGCAACCAATCAATGTGTGTCTCTCACGTTATTTGTCTCTTTCCCATACCCCCCTCTCTAAAAAAATCAATGGGAAAAATATAATCAGGTGAGAATTAAAAAAAATATATTGGAGTTAACTGAACCCTCTTTTTTTTTTTTAAATATATTTTATTGATTTTGTACAGAGAGGAAGGGAGAGAGATAAGTTAGAAACATCGATTAGTCATCGATCAGCTGCCTCTTGCACACCCCCTACTGGGGATATGCCCGCAACCAAGGTACATGCCCTTGACCGGAATCGAACCCAGGACCTTTCAGTCCCCAAGCCGACGCTCTATCCATTGAGCCAAACCGGTTTCGGCGAACCCTCTTTTACTTTATGAGAAACAAATTTTATTTGTAAACTAATCATCTCATAAAGTTTTTAGAGATCTGAAGAATTTTCTTAAAATATTTTAAAGACATATTCTTTTCTAAAACAAATAGTGGCCTGCCATGTGGTTAAATCACCCAAAAACCTGCTCAAGAAAGGACTTCTTGCAACCATGAGCTAGTCCCTCTATACTTGTGACTCCCAGGTTATACACACCATATTGAGATCCATGTTCAGAGAGGCAAAGATTTGGGATTAATATTTCAACAATAAGAGACTAACAAGTAGTCCTTTTAATTTAGATTCAGGTGAACTGATGAATACTTTATGACAAAAGTGTAATCTGTTAGACATAATGGATGTAAGTGCTTCTGGAGTATAGGGTAAATAATTTAGAAGTTAACCTAATAGATGTTGACTTCTCCAGGTGAGAAAATGCAATTACTGTTAAAAAAATACTGTGAAATGTTATATAATTGACCTTACCCAGCATTTTTGAGGTCTTAGATTTAATAATACCAACTGACAATTTTAAAAGTGAAAACCTTCAGGGAAGCTTATGCTTGGAACACTGTGAATGTCTCACATAAGCTCCGCCAGTGAGGTTTAGTGATTGAACATTGACCTATGAACCAGGAGGTCACAGTTCAATTCCTGGTCAGAGGCATATGCCTGGGTTGTGGGCTCAACACTCAGTAGGGGACATGTAAGAGGCAGGATCTATTTTTCTCTCATCATTGATGTTTCTCCCTCTCTGAAATCAATAAAATATATATATTTTTAAAAAACTAACAAAATAGCCGAACCGGTTTGGCTCAGTGGATAGAGCATCGGCCTGCGGACTGAGAGGTCCCGGGTTCGATTCTGGTCAAGGGCATGTACCTTGGTTGCGGGCACATCCCCAGTAGGGGGTGTGCAAGAGGCAACTGATCAATGATTCTCTCTCATCGATGTTTCTAACTCTCTATCCCTCTCTCTTCTTCTCTGTAAAAAATCAATAAAATATATTTAAAACAAAAACCTAAAATGATCGTGGTTTATTTGTTATATATAAACGTATGAAAACTGATTAACCTCCCAAAAGCTTATTTTAATAATTTCCTTTCTACAATTTTTCTAGTCTTTCAGGTGTAGGCCTCAACAATTTTTTTTTTTTTTAAATTACTATATTCAGCTTCTAGCTCCCCTTTTGCCATGTGGAAAGCAAAATTTTAAACTTTCTCTCATCCTGTTAGAATTTTTAAGATTCACAAGCTCAACTGTCTGTCTTGTGAGGAAAGGTAGCACAATGATAAAAATGGCATTCTAAATTTGATTAAGCTGAATGTAAAGTACTTTATACCTGTTTTACCCTCGTTCATTTTGAGTTGTCCTAATTTTAGGGTTTGTTGCATGTTGATAAAACTTCATTTTTTTCTTAATCCAATTACCCTATAAGATAATGCAGCACTATGAAAAAAAAATCATACAATATTTCTTAAAGAACCTTGGAGATATATACTTCGTATTGCTAGCCTTTGACGGTCACACAATGGTGCTCTATCCTTTTTTTTTTTTTCCCCTTTACAAAGAAGCCTCTGAACACTGCATTTGCACATTCTTACCAAAAGCATTCACATTTAAGTGGGTTTTAAAAGTTTGATTAAAATTTTTTCACTTAGAATGGTTTTTACACACTTGTAGCCAACTGACTTGGAATGTCAATAGTACAACTATGGAAGAGGTGAACATACTAAAGTTCTTGTAAGAGCTTGAAACCAAACAAAAGATGGATTTGTTCCATGATTTAACAGTATTCTTGGGTCTTACAGTGATTCATTCCTTTGTTTGAACAGTAGCTCTGTGAAATGTCGGCTGTGAATTGATATTGTAATCAATAAAGTACTTTAACCAGATTTCATGTGGCATATTTTAAGTCAAATTTAGATTTTAATATTAAGTTCCAGAACCAAGCCAATGTCACAATTCAGCCCCAATTCCTTTATCTAAATAAAGGCAAGAAGGGGAGCAGTTAGGGGCAATCAGGCAGCTGAGTGGTTAGGAGCCAGTGGTCCTGGATTGCAGGATACAGTCAGACATTCCCTGTGGGGTCCTGGGTTGGAGAGGATGCAGGTCAGGCTGAGGGACACCTCCTCCCCGCTCTTCCCGGGCATGATTTGTAATGAGCTTCCAGAGCAAGAGATCGTGGTGCTACATTAGTACTATATTAGCTTACCCTTAAAAGGACCGCAAATTTTCATTAAAAAGCAAAATTAAGTCCTTTCCCTGAAACTCCCTTAGGATAAATAATTCCATTGCTTATAGGGTTTTTGTTTTTGTGTTTTTAAAAAATATATTTTTATTGATTTCAGAGAGAAAGGGAAAGGGAAAGACAGAAATATCAATGATAAAAGAATCATTGATCGGCTGCCTTCAACATGCCCCCTACTGGGGCTCAAGCGGGCACACCGGATGTGTCCTTGACTGGAACTGTACCCATAGTGAAGTGCCATCCACTGAGCCAAACCTGTCAGGAATAGAATTAGAAGAGACAGTCTACCCAAGATAGTTTATATATCTACCATAAAATTAAGAGCAAGACTCATTAAATGCCAGTATAAATGCTATATTTATCAACTGTCAGACAAAAGTTTTATTCTCACCTTGCAAGTTTGCATGTAATTTTGTAAAAAGTTTGAGGTCATACAAAGTTTATAAATTAATATGCAAACACATAGTGAACAAGAACTCTGAATTACATCAGGTGTAACTTACATGATTTCATAGAATTCATGGGCTGAGTCATAGGTGCACTTACCTCTAGGCATAAAGGTTGGGTCTTATTATTTTAGTGTCCATTTCCAACATTCACATATTTTCAAACTTGATCAGTTGGAATGCGTTCGAACTGGTGATGGAAAACTTACTACAAACTTAAATACCAGAGTCATAATTTCTGCACTTCCCAAATGTTAGCATGCATCAGGATGACCTGTATGTCATCTTTTAACAGAATGCTGACCCCCAGAGCTAGTGTTCGATTCTTGGGTCTATGGCTCAAGAATGTATAACTTACAAGTTGACAAGTGATACTGTTGATCCAAGGACCAAACTTTGAGAACCACAGTAGTATACTAATGACTTTATACCAAACCAATATGCTGCTTCAAAATTTCAAGTACTTTGTATAAATTTAAGAACTAGAGCTTGTAACTTTAGACATCAAGTTTTCATGCTGCAGGTGTTACCTGATCCACACTTGTTGGTGGCCTGTACCAATTTTGGTTATAAAGCAAAAACAAAAGCTACAAATTAATATTTATTGCACATTTGGCATCCTAGTATCTGACCTGCATAAAAATATATTTTTGAAAGGCTTATGACCTAAATAATATTCTCCTTAAAATATTCTGAAAAACAGTGTTGTTGCACCACCAGCTGTGAAAAGAGAGAATGGCATCCAGGAGCCTCAAAGGCACAGAAAAGGAAGCACTGAGTATTACGAGAAGAAAGGAGCCTGAACGTCATTCCTCCCATGGAGAAGAAACAGTGTCCTCCTTGCTTTTTCACAAGCACCTAGGGGACTGATGCTGATCTGGTGGTCCTCAAGGCTCCCTTCTGCATAACAAAGCCCTAGAACGTCATTTTAAAATGTGTCCATGTAAGTTTCAATTAGTTTTTAACAAACACACACAATACTTGAAACCATAAACATTTCATTAAACTAAAAAATACAGTGATAATTTTTAACCATGCCCTGGCAAATTCATACAATAAAAGGAAAACCACCACAGGGGGACAATTCATCAGTATCCTCAACAAATACCTTCTGAAGAACAGAATTTGTACATGACTATAACCACTCAAAATTCAGACCTCCCATCTCTGGCTGTTTTTATCACTTCAAACTTCTAAAACTTAGCTTCCCTTACTGTACTCATAGCTGAAGCTGAAAATGTTTCTCTAGAAACATCAGGAAGCTATTTCAATCCAGATACTTTTAGAATAACAAACTTTATACTGCTTTACATTAGCTTTAATGGGAATATAAGGAGTATCAACAACAGCTTTTTTATTAGTGGTTTACATACCTGCCAGAAAGGCAAAAATGACTATAACTTGCAAGATAATACACTCACGAACATTACATACTCCTTTTTGGTGGTTAAAACAACATAGGTATAAAACAAAAGTGACTATTCCCATTAAAGTGACATCAAAAATTAGTTTTGAGAAAGAGCATTCTCTAACTCCTGGATGCCAGGAAGAAGAGTGTTTCAGAAGCAAAAACAAAGAGAGCCCTAATTAAGAGTAAGGCCCCACCCCTCAGGGGTCACATAATTGGTTCTGCTGTTCTCAATTCATCACTTCAACACATCAAACAACTTAGCCTGTTCTTTACCCAGAATTAAATTAAGAGATCAATAACACTCTTCAGAAATGCAAACACCCTGAGATAGATCATTACCAGAATCTACACAAGAATTTGCTACTTAGGTATAGTGAGTACAATTCATATTTAAAATCATTTCATAAAAATAACTGTCCCAAATCATCCAAGTTGCATTTTTCTCCTATGATGATCATCAAAGCGATTTCTATTGTTAAGATTCTTCTTCATTGCTTGAATGTAGAAACTGCTTAGTAAAATTCTCCAGCTCGTTTTTAAGTCGAACAGCTTTATTTCTAATTTAAAAAAATGAACAAAACACCAAAATCATTAAGGTCATTTTAAAAATGCATTCCATTGAATCTCAAAAAGTAAAGAAAAAACACACTAGCCAACTGCTGCTACATTCATCTGAACTCAGACTACACTATAAATACCCTTTTAAGAGTACTTTATGTGCTACTACAGCTCTGCAATAAACAGAGTTCAATGCTCAGGACTTAAAAGAATTATTAAAAAACACAGGAAACGGGAGTCCTATTGCCTTTCATGGGAGTCAAAGCCCAAGTCACGTTATAACTGTCTTTGAATTCTCTTTAAGCATCAAGTACAGAATAAGTGGTTTTATATATGGACTATGGTACACAAAAAAAATTTTTTTTTAAAACATACTAGAATTGTATTTGATTGCCAACTGTCCATACGAGGAGGAAAACTGGACCTAATGACTAAGGAACACAGATTTGTGTCTCATTCTTATACTGTGCCAGGGCACACACACACATTTGAATGAGCTTCTCCCTTTCTTTTTAAGTTGGTCTTGTTTTGTTGAGTGCACATACTTGAGGTCATATAAGTTAAATGTACATATGAATTCTACTGTATATTTCTTCGAACCACTCTTCTGAAATACTAGATAAGTTCTATCTCAATGGCTGAGCCTGATCCAGTAACAATGGAGATTCCAATTATCTATAATAAAAGTGTAATATGCTAAGCAGACTGGATGTCCTTCTGAAGAAGACGGGCTGCGAGGGAAGCCCAGGTCCTGGGTGCCAGAGGGAAGCCAGTACTGGTAGCAGAGGGAAGGCCTACTCTTGCATGAATTTTGTGCATCAGGCCTCTAGTGATATATATATTTTATTTTCCTCTTAGAAAACGGATGAATTAGGAGATCAAAAATATTCATACTTATTCAAGTCAGTCCAGCCAAAATCATTAAAGTACATAAGTGCCAATTATCTGTTTTATCATTTATGTTTTGCTATGACAAGATGGAACACTATTTAAAAACCTCCCTAAGTGAAAAAAAAAAAAAAAAAAAAAAAAACTTCTACTGCATATATTTTTATCAACTTTGAAAGGTTGTCTCTGGGAAGATCTTACTTGATAGAGTCTGAGGCTGAGGTGCACTGAGAGTGTGCCTGCTGTCAGATTGGGACACCATGGACAGACATGACCACACGTGCTTTAAATAGACGTCTCAAAATTCAGGACACAAGGACAGCCTCTCCAATTTGCAGACATTTCAAACTGCTCTTATGTGGGCAACTTTATGTAGTAGTTATCCTGGTAAGTAGCAGCAGGGACTAACTGATCCTTAATGATTTCTTCAGTCACAAGTAAACCAACAAATGGGTAATGAAGTGGAAAGTTGTTAATTGCCAAGAAGTAGAGACTACATGGTAAAACTTGTCCCCTAAAACAGAATTTAGACCCCCGAAGAATCCATGATAAGCCATATTAAACCAGAATTCCACATTATACTACTTGTTTTTTATAGCCTAGAATATTCCCCATTGAAAATGGAAGTTATGGGTCTTGGAAATACAGGACTAAAAAAGTGATACTTTTAATTACAGAACTTATGCTCTCAAAAGGGACTAATATAGTTTAACAGAGAGTTCGAAGTTGACATCTAAAAGCATCCATTTACATCAGATGTTTCTTGTTGAAATTAGCATTCAATGAAATTTCAAAACTATGGAATATGGAATATTATAATTTAAGCCATCAGAAAGAAAGTTTTAATATAATCATTTGTGATTTACATAATTATATTTTGGTAATGAGACCAATAAATGTTCATATTATGGAGAAAAAAATGCTTTAAGTACCTTAAAAGCTTTGAATTGTTTTGTATGTCCTCCAATTGATCTATCTCTTTGGAAAATCTAGCAATTTCTTCTTCCAGGTGTTTTTGTGTAATATCAACTTGTTGGCAAAGGCGAGCAAAAGTGGTTGCCATTTCCCTTAAAATAAAAAACAATTTTATCAGCTATCACAAATGTCTTAAAAATGCATGGGCTTTCAAAAGATTATATAAAAGATCACAAGTTTAAAATACTCTTAAAAACATAAGGTTTTAAAGAACAAAGTGCTAAGAATGGGATGAGGGAGGCATGGAACTTGTAAGTTTAATATGACTGGGCCTAATTCCATCTGGCTTCAAGATCAATGTTCAATAGGCACTATTTCCATTGCCATATGGTTGTAAACATGAACAAGCTATAAAAAGGCAAAAGATGGGTATATTTCTTCAGAAGCACAGTAAACCTTACTCACCTCCTGCCATAAAAATAATTACTGAGAACAGAAAAGAAAATTTCATTAATCCTATTAACTTATACAAAAAAATACTTTAAATCATAACATTTAATCATGTTTCTAGAATCAAAGGGCATTACTTCTTTTGCGTGCTAGTTCATGTTATATTTTGTAACTGGGAACATGCCTAGCAGGTATATATTTCTATAATATCATTAACTGGCTTACTCATTTTTCTCTGCCAATTATTCTCCTGTACATCTTTCCCATTCCATGATCTTTAATTACCAATATTGAACAAATGAAGCATCTTTCATTATTTTAATGTTTTATTAAATTAATATACAGCTAGTATTACTTTGACTGAGTAATTAAAGTTATCTCCATTAGAGTGTGATATCCTCTAGGATAAGGATCAAGTTATCTTTAACTTTTTATTTCCTATAACATCTAGCAGTTATTGTCACATGGTAGAAAATAAATGTTTGACCTTCAGTTTTATGGAAAGCTTTATTAACTTTGTTTTTATGTGAACCCCAGCTGATTTCTGTTCGCAGGTCCACCTATATTCAATAATATAAAATTAAAACTATTATATATGCCCTTGCTGGTTTTGCTCAGTGGTTGCAGTCTAGATCCCCTCCTATTCGGGAGGCAAACAATGGATGTGTCTCTCTCACATCAATGTTTCTCTCTCCTCCTCCCTTCCACTCTGTCTAAAAATCAAAGGAAAAAAATATTCTCAGGTGAGGAAAAAACAAAAACAAAGAACAAATTTAAAAAAACCTATTATATAAAACAGGAGTTCAATAACTTATTTGGTAAATGAATGAACTAATTCAGTGGTCTCAAATCTATGTCCTCATAGTCTCCATTCTCTATAGCTCTATTAGGTTTTCATCTTGTGTCTGAAACAATACAATCTCCCTGCAAATTCTTATCTCCTTAATCTAAACCATTCTATACACACCACACCACTGCAAAGCTATTTGTCCTGTCCTAGGGCTAAATATTAATGATATCACTTTCAGAATTCCTAAGTACCCAGGCTCCTATCCTGTTAGGTTCATTCTTGAATGTACTCCCCACCCCCATATATACATTTCTCACTGAAACTGTTTCTGAAAACATTCCTTTTCCTTTACCCTCCTGCCTTTGGTTTGGGCTGTTTTCTCTGCCTGTATCTTCCCATTTTGTACATTCTACCCATCCTCTAGGAAATCTATATTGATCCACTAACTTTCATGATTTCAGATTCTAGTGCCTCATATTAAAAAGCTCTTAAATGATCACTTTTTACTGTTATCATATTGATGTAAATTATGTCTTCCATTAAGTTGTAATCATGAACTTTTTAATTCATCTCTCAGTAGTATCTAAATACAGATTATTATGCACTGACTTAACTGGAATTCTACATATTTTTACTAAATCAATGAAATATTTATGATACATAAAAGAAGATATTCAATGGACCCACATTATTTATGTTAACAACAAATGGGTTCACACTGTAATCTTTGCACTATACTCTTATTTCTGCATGCATGGCATATTTTAATATACCCGCTCTTTTTTAAAGCTGAAGATGAATTTTTCTTTTTTCTCATGGATGAATTTCTCAACTTACTGTTGTACTTGATGGCTGCAGTTTGCACTTGTGAAGCTAACAATCATCTGCAGTTTCTCAGTTGCATAGTTCACAAACTGCTGCTTAAAAGCTCTCTCTTTGGCTCGGGTGGTCCAGGCCAGCCTTTCATAAAGATATAAAGCTCCATACATACTTAATGAAAGAGATATGAGTTTCCAGCCTACAGTTTTCCAAATCTGAAAGATAAATTTACAGCTTACTTTGACAAAGAAAAACACCGCTGGGGAGATTGTACTCAAAGGAGATTGAGCTATAGATTTTATGAGTCAGATCCATGTTTAAGAAATTTATATTCATTCTCTAAGAGAACCTAAAGTTATCAAAAATCAAACAAGCTGAAAAGGGAGTAGCATGTAAATATCAGGCAAGAAATTTGATAACCTGCTAGATATTTGGTGAAATGATTTAATACATCTTGAAAAAGGAGGTTATTTCTTTTAGGTTAGGTTTCAAAAACCAAAACCTGTAAATTGATACTGTTAATGATATGAATTTTATTTTTTTAACATGTAAGAACTACTACTAAGAAGTAAACATTATACTTTAAGGCAGATCCTTTTGGTATTTAGATAAGATTAGATATGGGAACTGGATCATTCTTGTTACTTCATATATAAACCATTTCTTTGTGTGCTGTGATGGAAAAATAGTTGGAAAGCATTGTTGAAGGACGAACTAATTGGTGGTATTTCTTTCCTAAAGATGCATTTAAAAAAAATGTATATAGTGTTAATAATTTCACTATACATGTATGTCAAATCATTATGCTATACCCAACCCTAACACAATGCTAGTGTCAATATATTTCAATTTAAAAATGCTTATGAAACTCTTCTTAATTCACTAACTTTAACTACACCTTTTGATGTCATTTTATAGGTCCTGAAAACAGAATATACCTCTCTTTGTGATATAGCAGAAAGCTTTGTAAATTTTCAATTTTCATTATAATAAAAAGTACTGTTTCTTACCACTCCGCCGACAACAATAATGCCCATAGATGTTCTGGAAGTAAGGGAAGCTAATGTTGTTATTAAGGTAACCATGATTTCTTCCTGTGATGCATTATCTGGTGTTGCTGGATTGCTGGGAGTAGAAGCTAAAGACCTAGGGAGCTAATAACATTGGGTAAAAGGATTATAATTAAACAACTCTAAATGGAATAAAGTTTACTATATTATACTGTATTTCTTTTAAAATTATAGTAGTAAATCAATGAAAAGAACTTTAGTTAATGAGTTTACCATAAATACACGAAGAAAATAAGTGATCTGAAACTTATTTTGATGACATAATTTTCTATGACTTAGATATTGTAAAGAATAATGAATTTTCATAATATACAATGAGTTTATCTGTAACAATAGGCCTTCAAATTAAACCCTGCCCAGTTTGCCAAAGTGGTTAGAGTGTTGGCCTGCAGACTGAAGGGTCCCAGGTTCAATTCCGGTCAAAGCACAAACCTCTGATGCAGGGTTTGATTCCAATTGGGGTACATATAGGAGGCAGCCAATTGATGTCTCTCTCTCTCTCTCACATCAATGCTTCTATCTCTCTGTCTCCCGCCCCCACCGTCTCTAAAAATCAATGGAATATCCTCGGTGAGGGTTAACAAAACTAAAAAATAAATAAAATAATCACAAGTGGCTCAGTTGGTTGGAGTATTGTCCTATACACCAAAAAATTGAGGGTTTGATTCCTGGTCTGGGTGCTTACAGGAGACAACCAATCACATAGATGTTCTCTCTCTCCCCACCCTCACTCCCTTTCTCTCTCTAAAATAAATATATGTCAGGTGAGGATTAAGAAAATAAATAAAAATACATTATAAGAAAGTTCAAAGATAAGCCACAAATTGGAAGAGTATATTTAGAAACTGTATATCTGATAAAGGAACTGCATCTAGAATAAATAAAGATCTCCTACACGTCAATTAGAAGCCAATAACCTAATTAAAAATTAGGCAAGTGATTTGAATAGACATTTTCTAAAGCAAGAAACGTGAATGGCTAAAAACACATGGGAAAAAAAGCACACGAAAAGATGTTCAAAATCAATATAATTAAAACTACAATGAGATACCACTTCACATACTCTAGGAATAAAAAAGATAGATAATAACAAATCTGGGTGAGAATGTTGAGAAACAGAACCTTAACATGTTGTTGATGGGAATGTAAAATGCAGCCATTTTGGCAGTTCTTCAGAAAGTTAAACATATTTGCCTTTGGTATAGCAATTTCACCACCAGATATATACTCGAGAAGTGAAAACAGATGTTTACGTATAGAAAGAACAAGAGTGCACTGGCCAGTGGGATTAGAGCATCAGCCTGCACATTCAAGGGTCGAGGGTTGGATTCCTAGTCCAGGACAAGTATCTGGTTGCAGGTTTGATCCCTGATCTGGGTTTTGGGCAAGTATGGGAGGCAACCAATAAATCTCTCTCTCTCTCTCTCTCTCTCTCTCTCTCTCTCTCTCTCTCTCTCTCTCTCTCTCTCTCTCTCTCTCTCTCTCTCTCTCTCTCTCCCTCATCCTTCCCTAACTCCTTTCCATTCTCTCTAAAAATCAATGGAAGAAATATCCTCAGGGATTAACTAAAATGAAAACCTCTACAAAAACGAAACACACAAAAACGGTGAATCTCAACCAGTAGAATCAAAGCCACATATCTGTGTAGCAGTACAGCAATAAACACCTGATAAAAAGACTACTTCAAACAATAAAAACAAAGCAAAATTCTGTACCTGAAAGACAGGCTCGGATAATCCTAGAAGCACTCTCTGTGCATTCGTAGGACCCAAGAAACGATGGACAAGGGAAGACCAGCCCAAGGAAAAACGAAATACAATATCCTCTTGAAAGTCTGAACACAACATGTGGCAATTTAGGTCATAGCTGAGATCAAATTTCTTGCAAGGAACCAGTGTATGTAGTTTATTCTGTACATCAGAAGGAAGTAACGGTTTCAAATTTTCTAAAAAGAACAAAAGTAGGACATTTACTTTAAAAAAACAACAGTAAATAATGTTTTACATTTTGTAAAATATCTAAAAGAAAATAAATCCTTTACCAACAAAATAAAGAACTTGTTGACAAATATTACCAATAATTTCTTGCTGAGATTGAAGCATTGAAGCGTTGACTTCACTGGTGCACCTATCAGCCAAATTTCTTCCCATCCCATCTTCTATGTGCTTATTTAACTCCTGTTAAAAACAAAAAATGTCCACATTATCTTTCCTCTAGAATATAAGCAGTTTTATAAAAACATAATTTAGTAAGCACTAAAATAATCTTATTCTAAGAGAATAACTTTTCTGTATACTTTATATACAAGGTAGTTTACATTTATTATAAGAGTTAACAGTAGATGTTAACAGGTTAGTTGAGTACTGACTGTCATAAAGACACCAATATAGACAAACCACTACATAGAGTGTAGAATACAGTGAGGGAACTTCTTGTATTAACTACAATTTAACTTACATTTTTATATACTTTCAATACACTTGGAGTAGGATGAAACTCAGAACAAAATTCATCAACCAAAACAGAAAGTCGACAAATTTCATCTGTCATTGCACATGAAACCTGAAAATATGGAGAAAAAAAAAAAATCAGAGTAAAAAAGTTGAACAAGATCATCAACCATTCAAAAAACCAAACTGAAAAAAACAAACAAACAAAAAAACACAACACAAAATATTCCTTTAAGGGATAACATTTTTAGGGATAACATTTTTAGCATCATCAAAAATATTTCAGTCATAAAATTACTGTTACTCACCTTGTTTGCCACCTCCTCTGTAACCTCCCTGATTTTCTTCTTAACATCCAGTGTCAACAGGTTCATTTGATTTCGGATAAAGTCCAGTCTATCAATGTGGTCTTCCCTCTCTTCCATCGAATAAACTCTATTATGGTATGAAGAGTAATTAATAATCAGGGAATATTAAAGTCTCAAAGCAATTCAGCAAGGGCACTCAATTATGTAATGAATCATCTGTTAGCATGATAAAAGAAAAAAAATCTCATATTCTAACACTGAAAAGGATTCAAACTATATTTCACTTATAAAATATTTTATAAATGACTAAATATAAATTTGCTTTGTCTCTCTGCCCATACTTATGTCCCACCAAAGGATTAGTAAGAATTCTAAGTCTGCAAACACTTCATATATATGAATAGAACTCAATATTGACTTTATATAACAAATATGGGCTATCTAACGGCATCCTGTAAGCCAAATCCAGGAGCTGCTTAGTTTTGTTAAAGTTTTCCTGGAATATAGTTATGCTCATTCATGTACAGTAGGTCCTCGGGTTACATCGGAGATCTGTTCCTACAGCATGAGGTAACCCAATTTTCATTGTTAAGTCAGAACCCACATAAGCATCACATGGAGTACATACACAGCAGTAATGAAGCGAAACAGTAAAAAAAATTTTTTTAAAAGGTAATTCCTGATCTTTACTTGTGGTAAATAAATAATAAAAAAACAAAAAGCACAATATGTACATACGTCGAAATGACAACTTTTTTTTTTTTAAATAATGGAGACATAACTATGAAACGATGTACCTCGAGTCCGAAGTAACCCAAGGACTGTCTGTATCTATTACCTAAATGCCTGCTTTTGCTCTAAAACTGCAAAACTGAGAAGTTGTAAGAGATGGAATGGCCCACAAAGCCTAGAATATTTTCTCTCTGGCCTTTATACAAAATTTGTTAACCTATAGATGATGTAGGGAAAAAAAGACCTGAGATCGTTTTTAAGATAATCTTTAATAAGTTTCTAAGACATTATGATTATACAAACCATCCTCAAATCACATATTTTTTTGTGTCATGTTTAGTTCAATGTCCTATATTGTTAAAAAATTAGTAAGGTCAATGGAGTGGATTGACTACTTTGGCAATTACAATAAAAGCTACTGAGCTGAAAGGAACATAAATGGGAATATAATATCATTATACAGAAAAGTGCCCAGTGCTTGAGATCAGATTCTGGGGTCTCACCCCTTTGTTTTATATGTTGGAAATTCTCTAATTTTTTAGATAATACATTCTTGCAAACCTGTCAAAATTATGCAATAGATTTAAACATGAGAGGAATTGTTCCTAGCAACATCAAATACATTTAAAATTCCCAATTATATGTCATCTTGGACTTAATCTTTAATGCTTTATATCTTTCTTTTGATTGGCTTAAACTCACTAAAGGTTCAATTGAGACTTACCATTGTTATATTTGTCACATCTAATAACATCCTGATCATTGTTTCAAGTGTACCAAGGTTGTGACAACTACCTTTTTCTTTTATATTTCTGCCATTTTCATGCATTCATTTTCATTTTTATAAAGTAATAAATAGAATAAAATCGTGCAGTACAGTGTGACATAGAGAGTAGTGTTTACTAAACTGACTTTCTGCCTGGCGGATATTACCTTGTTTGTTTGCCAGCTGATAAAAAGACAACCACTGGCACAAAAAAAAGTGATTTCAAGGAATCAATGTATGAATGGGTTGAAGATAAAAAAGGTTACCTGCTTTGCACTTGTTTTAAGAAATTTAGCTTGAAGAAATGCTTCTTCCACTGCTTTACAGATATTTTAAAGCCACTAAATATTTTAAAAACACAAGCCCTACACAATGCTGAGATCCAGAGAATGCAAATGATGTGTACAACAAATAAACATAATATTTACATTTAATATTCATTTAGAAACATGCATGCGGACACTAGTTAAACTCACAAGGTTGATTTTAGTAGGAAATTTATAAGTAACAATTTCAAATCCTAGTTTAAGGAATTCATCTTGATACGAAAACACACATTTTGCAATAAATGCATTCATACCTTTTCTCTGCTGCTGCCACGTTTATTGAATCCATTATGTCTTGCACAGTATCTAATATCTGTTTAGCTCTGATAGTGTGCTGTTCAAACTTTGTTTTCACTGCTGACTGCGAGATACACTCCTGCGAGGGGCCCAAGCCATAACACATTACTGTAATTCCATCCCAACATTTTTAGGAATTGAAACACAAAAACTTGCTGTTTATATCTTTAACCAAAACAGAAATTAGGATAGAAAATAAATACATGATAAACATAACTTAAAATTACAAAGGTTAAAAAAAAAATTACAAAGATGTAAAAGTAAAAAGTGTTTTGAAACAGCAAGTTCAAATCTTTGTGTTAACTTTACACAGTAATGTGCAATGGTTGTTACTATATTATTTTTCAAAATAAATAACATGGTCAAAATAAAAATTTTCAGTGTTAAAAATATTTTCTTTTATAATTATTGATTTTATTTGTATTGCCTTTAATCTACTTCTAGATTTTTCTCATACTTGCAATAGATGTCCTAATAAAGTTATTGAGCTTTAAATAAGAATTCTACTGTATTAAAAAAATTTAGTTGAATGCTGATTCACATAAAGTCATTATAAAGGACTTTTGCGGATGAAAACTTACACAATCTGAAAAATACTCTTTAACAATAATCTAAGTAATATTTTAATCTTCCTATTGTCATTGGTCTACAGTGTGTGCATACAGGTCCCAATGATGCCCTATCTCAATGGATGGCAAACTCATTAGTCAGCAGAGCGGCAAACTGTGGCTTGTGAGACCACTGCCCTCTCATTTGTTTTACTTTCAAGCTAAATACAGCTCACAACCTGTTAATAGTTGTACAAATCAGAGTTTCATTACCAGTGTTTATTTAAATAGAAGAATATATATCAGAATGTATCACATATAGTAATGGATGTCTGTGAAGTTTTCGTTTCAATTTTAATATATGTGCATACTACTTATTATTTAAAATATTTATAGTGATTCATCATCAAATGTTTGCAAAAATCATTACATTAAAATCAGCCTTTCATGTTTATTTCACAGAACATAACACTTGAAAACAACTTCAAGTATTTACAGAATAGTATATGGGCTTTGAACAATCAAGAGATGTCCATCTGCCCTGACTGGGTGGCTTGGTTGGAGCATCATCCCATAAACCAAAAGATGGCAGGTTCGACTCCAGGTCAGAGCATATAATTAGGTTGTGAGTTTGATCTCCAGTCAGGGCATGTATAGAAGACAGCCAATTGATGTTTCTCTCTTTCCCTTCCTCTCTAAGGTCAATTAACACATCCTTCGGTAAGTATTAAAAAAAAAAATCTGGGTCACAACATTAATAACCACAATAGATGTTTTGGAGGAGGCCATATTTATTTTATATGATGAATTTTTAAAAAATAGGCATATACCCCAACTCCAATATTTCTTCTTCTTTTTTTTAAAATATATATTTTATTGATTTTTCACAGAGAGGAAGGGAGAGGGATAGAGAGCTAGAAACATCGATGAGAGAGATACATCGACCAGTTGCCTCCTGCACACCCCCCAGCGGGGATGTGCCCGTAACCAATGTACATGCCCTTGACCGGAATCGAACCCGGGACCCTTCAGTCCGCAGGCCGACGCTCTATCCACTGAGCCAAACCAGCCTTGGCCAATATTTCTTTTTTCTTTTTTTCCAACTCCTATATTTCTTGGATTCATCTTTTGAACCTTTTTGTATATGTATAACTAGTACAAAATTGTGGTCATTACTTCATAAAGTTGTTACTATCCTTCGTTAAAATAATTAGCTTTCAGGATTTAGCCCTGGCTGGTGTGGCTCAGTTGGTTGGGTATTGTCCCATACACCAAAAAGTTGCTAGTTTATTTCCTGGTTAGGGCACACGCCTGAGTTGTGGGCTTGATCCCCAGTATGGGGTGTGCAGGAGGCAGCCAATCTCTAAAAATCAATTAAAAACAAAAAAAGCTTTCAGGATTTAAAGGGTATCCACTTAAAACTCTATAGAGTTCTATATACTGTCTGGGACAAAAGTAGGTATATAGCTGTGAGCACACAAAACACAGAATTTATTCTTGTATTATTATTTGTTAATTATTATATTATTTTTCATATAAACAACTGTATACCTATTTTGCCCCACCCTGTTCATTATTAACTTGAAATCAGTATGTTAACATATTTATTTAATGTACTAATTATAACCTATGCTTAGCCTTCAGATCTCTAAAATGGTTTCTGTTCACTTAATGTAGAAAAGACGTAAAATCTCTTTTGCCACTTTAGTTGCCCTCTTCAGTATTTTTTTGAGATAAGGAACACAAAACAAAAACCATTTCTTTAGCTGTAAGCCCACAAGGGTAATTACTTTAGGTAACAGTTCATACAGCTTTAACTCAGAGATGTTACTCTCTTCCATTGCAAACCTCACTTTTGCTGGTGGTTAAGTCACTCCAGATCACTAATCCAGAGGATATTGGTGGTAGAAAGTTTCAGCATTCCTGTTCAGTAAATGCCAAAGCAAAAACCACCAAGAACTATACAATATTAAACATTTAAAGTGTAAACTGTTTATTTTTAACAACCAAATTCATGTTTTACTTTAAATTACTGTCTCATAAATTGCCAAATTAACCTCCACAAAAATGATAATAAAAACATTAAAATATTTTAAAAAGGAAAAAATGGTTAAAAGAAACTCTATATTCCTCGATGAAGCAGATCTAGATATCAGCAATGAAGATTTCAATTTGTAGTTAACAGCACAGTATTAGAGCTAGTCTAGACAGGAAAGAAAAGATCTCCAAAAGTTATTAGACGATATAAAAATTACTTCTTGATTTAAAAAATTTATAATGATGAATAAGTATAAAGAAAAACATAGGAAATCTTCTTGTAATAAAAAATATCACACAATGGTATTCTCACTGATCAGAAAAATATCAAGAGTCAATCTGTAAAAGAAATACTCTATTTTACTCAATTATTTCGCAGAACTCTTAATAGACTAATGTTTTTGAATTTCATGAGAAATATATTTATCAGGAACTCTAATTTTCCAAAAAGTTTAAAGTACTACATCAAACCAACTTAAGTTCCATCTAGTCAAGTAGCATTAAACTGTTTTACAACTTATTAAATATTTAGAACTAAAACAATAAGCATCTCAAGATAGTTTTCTGATTTTTGAAAAACATCTAAAGAAGCCTGCTGTAAGTAATCATACACAACTACACAAGTAAATATTAATATTTATGTGTAATTAAAACCATAAAACAAACTTGTCAATACCTCCTTAATAGCAGATCCCAAACACTCAATAACATATAGTCCTATTTACCACTCTCAAATGATTATTTTGAAATATTTTTAAATGACAAGAAAGTGTAAGAATGAACATCAATATAATATACCTTTTAAGTAAATGTACAAACTATTAACATTCAACCTCATTTTTTTAGGCTTCCTTCTCTGGCTCTTCATACAGATATAAAGTTATGCCTCTATATATATACATATACTTACATGCGCGCGCACACACACAGACACATATATTCCTGAATAATTTGACAGTTCACTGCAGCCACCACCTTACTATTAAATATATAAACATGTATATCCTACAGATCCATGAAAACAATTATTGTATTCAGAACATTTATCACTGGGACAATACTACTAACCTAACACAGAGTCCATTTTCAAATTTTACCAGTTATCCTGGGAATGTTCTTTACAACAAATTCACTGACATTTTAGTATATGTGCTGCCGAAGCGAGCACCAAATTCACTGACATTTTGCAGAAGTTATTTTATATATTTTTTCTACCATACAACCAAAATTATTAAAAAGTTAATGGCCAAATAACTGAGCGAAGATATTTAGATTTATCAAAGGCTTAGAATATACAACTGTCCAAATACAGATTGAAAACAGCAAGAAAGCACTAGCCGATCTGGCTCAGTGGATAAAATGTTGGCCTGCAGACTGAAGGGTCCTAGGTTAAATTCTGGTCAAAGGCACATGCCTGGGTTGTGGGCTCGATCTCAAGTAGGGGGCATGCAGGAGGCATCCATCAATGATTCTCTCTCATCATTGATATTTCTATCTCTCCCTCTCTTTTCCTCTCTGAAGTCAATAATATAATTTTTAAAAACAAAATATATTATATTAGAATTAATATTTATTTTCTTGATTTAATTTCTAAGCTTTAACTTGGTACTCTATGTTCATTAATATTTAGCTCATTAGAACCAAATTAATCTCAAAGAAGTCATGACAAAGATTTCCCTTTCTTTTCTAGTTTTATGATTTTTGTGAAAAGGAAAACAGTGCAAAGTTCATCATTTTTATCAGTTTTCCTTTTCACAAAAATCATAAAAATACAAAAGAAAGGGAAATTTTAAAAATGCAAAGAAACCAATAAATTAATAAACTAAAGTTGGATAAAAAGAATTAAAAAATCTGGATTTTAACTCTTGTATTAAATAGGATATTCCAAAAAACTATTAATTACAAATAAATAATGAAGAATAAACTAGATGCTAAAACCCATGGAATACGTCCAAAGTTACACTCACAAGAGAAATTCTTAGCCCTGAATTCTTTCTTAAAGAGCAAAAAGCAGAACACACTTTCCCCAACTGGAGCTGAAACACCAAAAGACATCTCTGGGAGCAGAACAGCAGGGGAGACCAGCGCAGGCTGGTTCAGACTCTTGTGGAGCTGTCTAGCAGAAGACGGTCCTGGCCTCAGGGAACTGCCCTGGGCAGCCTCACAGCCCTCAGTTCCACAGCAGTGCTGATTTCACAACCATGCTGTATTTACATTGAGCTGTTTACAGTAAATACGGTTTCCTTTTTCAAAAGAAGAACAAAAAGCAAAAAAAACCATGCCACTTAAAATGCTTTGGACACCCAAACAAAATTTTTGGCCCATCGGGTTATTTCTGTAGATAAATTCAAACAATTTCTATCAGATTCTCATTTTAGATCTATAATAGTTTCAAATAAACAAAAAGTTTCAAATTCTAAATCCTGACATTTCCACAAGTTTATTTAAAAGCTCTTGTTCATATGCATTTTCTGCATAAAATTTTTAGATTTCCAAACAAAAAAATAAAGTGCCAATTTCCTCCTGCAAATATTAAAAGAACAGGTCCCAGGTCTGCCTGATTATTGCAATCAGCTGGAAAGCTTTGGATACATAGATTCCTAGGTCCATCCTAGCTCCACTGGGTCAGTCCCTGGAGTAGGTCAAGAATCTGCAGATCTCTAAAGCACCTCATGTTATTCTCAAGATCAGCCATGTTTGGGAACCAATGCTCGATAGTACATCTGTTACTCTTTTCATTTCCACCTTTTCAAGGAGCTATTTTGGGAGAGCAAAACTGTACCAGAAACCAGTATAAAAGAGGTATAAATGTAAATTATTTGGTAGAAGAAATCAATGACAAACAGGGAACAGAAAGGGATAAAAAGAAGGAAAAAGTTAATCAATAAGAAAAGACAAGGGAAACAACAATAGATCCTCTCCCCAATATTTTCCCTATGGATAAAAGAGTGAGAAGAGCATTAAATCTCTTATGAAAGCAAAGGGAAAGAAAATAGATAGCAATAGTACTTCAGTAACTGAGATTTCATACATCCTATGGCCTGTTTGAGAGAATATGTGCTGATATCCCAGGTGTCTCTGAATAATTAGAGATCTTACCAAGAAAGCTGGTACTGGGTGTTCTTTCTTTAAAACTTTTTCTTCATCTACCTAATTATCTTTCTCCCTCTCACCAAATTAAAAACAGGGGAGACTGAGCAAATATTTAATTCTGCCTAGTACTTTCAACATTCATGTCCTTACTATTAGGCAGTTACCGCTTATAAGAATAATTACAGCAGATCATTCATGGGTAACAATATGCAATTTAGGCAAAGACAGATTAAATAGGGCTAAATAAGAGTATAGATGTCTTTTAACATCTATATCTTTAAATAAGAAATTAGATTTCTTCTTAAAAAAAATATATTTTATTGATTTTTTACAGAGAGGAAGAGAGACAGAGAGTTAGAAACATCGATGAGAATCATCGATCAGCTGCCTCTTGCACACCCGCTACTGGGGATATGCCTGCAACCAACGTACATCTCCTTGACCGGAATCGAACCCGGAATCTTTCAGTCTGTAGGCCGACGCTCTATCCATTGAGCCAAACCAGTTTCGGCAGAAATTAAGATTTCTTTTAACATCTATGTCTTTTAATATATAAAGGATTATTCAGCCAAATGCAGGATAAGTTTTAATGTCTCTGAATAAAACATCTACACCAAGACATAAAGAAGTATTCTCCCTTCTCAATGTTGCATACACATCAGCCAACTATCTTAGAGCTTCAGTGATTCCTAACAGATTTCTAAAGTGCAGATCTTAATTATTTTAGTATTCATTCATGTGTTTAAGGCATTTGGCATAAAATGTGGAGAATTAACAGGTGACAAGACAGTTTAGAAATATAATACACTTTCATCACATGGTATCAACTATGTTCTATCTCTATAAATACAGAGGTACAAAAGAAAAAAAGATGATCTTCACCTTGCTCTATTATCCATCCCAACAGCAACTGCATTTGTTTAGTCTTAGCCCACATTAGAAACTAAATTCTATAAAGAACTTCCCTCAATTCACAAAATATTAGAAAACAGTTTCTCATTTAAATGTAAATACTTAAGAATGTAAAAGAAATTAGAATCTTTCATTCTCAATTCTTACAAATCATCCATTTTGCAGGGACTTGCATTCTTCAAACTTTCCTTGCTGTGTAACTACTAAATAACAGTAAAATTAGCAACAAAGATAAACAGTGAAAATATAATCACTCTCCATTCAACGATAGGGTTTTATATTAGCCAGTACATTCACAAAATTCCTACCTCAAAGATTCGTTCAAAATTCTGAAACTCTTGTAATCTTGCCTGAAATCCTTCAGCAAGTGCCCCACCTATAACAGTTAGGTGAAGATTTTAAAACCATATAGTAAGGTAGGATATCTGGCATGCCATTTTTATAATGGATACTCGTATTTCAAAAGTAAGTCTATAATGAGTACATACCTCCTTCTGGCATCCCCTGTGCTTTGTGCATTCTAGCACTAAGAACTTCCTTTGCAGAAACAAAGAAAATATGATTCCTTGCTTCTGAAGGATCCACAACTTTGAGTTCTTCTACCAAAAAATGTAGGCATCTTTCTGTGTGCTGTCTGCGTACCTAGAGCAAAACAGGGTATTAAAAAAATTCTAATAACTAAACAAATATAATTACAATAGGTAGCTCCAGACTTAAACTTCATCTATAGTGATATTATAGTTATAGTTCCCATATACTTAACAAATCCTAATTATATTTGTAATAATTAAAGTTTGATACTTGCTGACAGGGAATTTCTGTCTCTTAACTTATTCTATGGAATATTTCATTTAAAATTCTGATGGATCATCCAATACTACATAGTCATTATGAAATATACTGTAGACCAATATTAGTACTTAATGGAATAGGAAGACATTCCTAATTTCGTATTAAATATATACATAATTATACAACAACAAAATGAAGTATACACATATATATTTATATTTATATAAATTAATAAGTGACATGCAGGCCAACACCTACAAAAATGAGTGGCATTTTTCTTTTTCTTTTTTAAAATATATATTTTATTGATTTTTTACAGAGAGGAAGAGAGAGGGATAGAGTTAGAAACATCAATGAGAATCATTAATCAGCTGCCTCTTGCACACCCCCTACTGGGGATGTGCCCGCAACCAAGGTACGTGCCCTTGACCGGAATTGAACCCTGGACCTTTCATTCCACAGGCTGAGCTAAACCGGTTTCGGCCATTTTTACTTCTTCTTTATACTTTTATTTTCCACAATGATGCTAGTAATATCTTTGAAACCAGGAAATAAGAGGTACAATAAATTTGCTACAATGAATCTATTTTTATTTTGAAGCCAGAACATATACAACATATTCCTCTTTTTAAAAACACTGGCAAACAAAATTGGGGAGAATGTATTAGCTTTAGAATTAGAGTGCAAATTAGGTTTAAGATTAGCAACTGGGTATTAAAATTAGGACTAAGGGTTATAATTAGGGCTTATATTATTTAATGGTTTAATTAATTAGAATTAGAGTGCAATATTAGGTTTAAGATTAGCAACTGGGTATTAAAGTTAGGAGTAAGGGTTATAATTAGGGCTTGGTACCAGCCTTTAGCATTATGACTATGATTTTTAAAAAATCTATTTTAATACTTAATAAAACTAAGCTCATAGAAACCCATACTTGAAACCTATATGTTCATGTTGACCAATGTCAACCCAATAAATTTAAGTAAAAAAATAAATAAATAAACCACTCAATTAAAAAAAAAGAAAAAGGAAAAAAATTTAAGCTATATAAGAATAGAGAAAAAACCACCTGTGGATGATACTTCTGTGATTATAAAACAAGAATTAATACCCTGGCCAGTTTGGCTCAGTGGCTGAGCATCAGCCCTTGGGATGAAGGGTTGAAGATTCGGTTTCGGTTAAGGGCATGTACCTTGGTTGTGGGCTTGATCACCACATGCAGGAGGGAACCAATTGATGTGTCTCTCTAACATTGATGTTTCTCTGTCTCTTCCCCTCCCTTCCACTCTCTCCGATAACCAATGGAAAAAATATCCTCAGGTGAAGATTAAGAACAACAAAAAATTTAATACCAGGATATAAAACTTCATATTAAGTAAAATTCTAATTTGGTGTGTGGGAAGAACAATAAAAGCAAATAATTTTAACATGTGTACTGTAATAAAATAGTGTAAATTTTTAATTTTTTATACATTTTATATATCTTCAGAAATGGTGTCAAGCAAATGAAACAAACATTATTTTCAGACAAAATACCAGATAGTCTATTCTTTTTATTTTTTTAATCCTCACAAAGGACATGTTTATTGATTTTGAGAGAGAGAAGAAGGGAAGAAGGAAGGGAGGGAATAAGAGAGGGGGAGAGTGGAGAGGAGAATAGGAAAGAAACATCAATTTGTTGTTTTACTTATTTATGCATTCATTGTTTGATTCTTATATATGCCCTGATTGGGGATCGAACCCACATCTAAGTATGTGCTTTGACTGGGAACTGAACCCACAACCTTTCAGTGTACAAGACAACATTCCAACCAACTGAGCCATACTGGCCACTTCTTTTTAGAAAGAAGTTTCTAAAATCGCCAACATGACTAAAATACCAAGTGTTGATGGGGATATAAAACACCTAAACCCTCAGTTACCTGGTGGGAGCATAAACTGGTATAAGCACTTTAGAAAAACTCTTGGGCTATGTTTCCCAGTAGCACATTTACCTAGTTGTGACAAAAATATCTTCAGACATAGCCAAATATTCCCGGGGGGTCAAAACTGCCCAACTCTCACATTGATAACCACTGATATATATCCAAAAGAAATATAAACATAAAAGAATATGCACAGTACCATTATCCATAGTAACTAAATACAGGTAATTTACCCATATACCTATCACTAACAGAATGAATAAATCAAGTGTAGTTAATCACAGGATGAAATATTATACAGCAATGAAATACTCCTCAACTATGCACAACATTGTGACTGCACATCACAATGTTGAACAAAAAATACCTGACACACAAAAGTAGAAATGACATGACTATTACATAAATTTGAACACCCGGGAAAAATTAGTCTAGGCACAGTGGTCGGCAAACTCATTAGTCAACAGATCCAAATATCAACAGTACAATGATTGAAACTTCTTTTGAGAGCCAAATTTTTTAAACTTAAACTTCTTCGAACACCACTTCTTCAAAAGAGACTCGCCCAGGCCATGGTATTTTGTGGAAGAGCCACACTCAAGGGGCCAAAGAGCTGCATGTGGCTCTCGAGCCGCAGTTTGCCGACCACGGGTTTAGGGTGTTAATAAGTCCGAGGTATTATCCTTTGGAGGAAGAATAGAGGGTGAAAGGGAGGGAATACTGGGATGCTAGGAATGTTCTGTTTCTTGATCTGGATCCCGACAAAGTTGTGCTAAATTTGTAAAATTTAACTGAGCTGGAATATTTGTACACTTCTCTATTATGTTATAACTCAGTAAAAAATTAAAAGGAAAAAAGTTTCAAGATCTAAAATGATTACATAGTATTTTTATAACACAATTTTCCTTCCAAGTAGCTTAATAACATCTGTTTTAAACAATGACTTCAGATTTCCTATAATTGTATTCTTTTAAGTGAGGGAATAGCTGCTTATGATGTGCTCTACTATAGGTATACAGTTCCCTCCCATAACAATGTACATATGTATATTTCAAGTATTAAAGGGGGAAAAACTTACATCTTCCATATATTCTGGCTCTGATGCAGAGGCGTCCCAACGATTATTCAGAATGAAAACGTTAGGCTTGGAAAGTCGCTCATTTACCTTGTGAAAAAACTGTTTTTCCTAAAAAATATCAAATGGCCAACAGTATGTTCACTTTTAAAAACTATTTTTATTTATAATTTACTTTCTTTTAATCTAAAATTTGGAACCACTTAGACAACAGTGATTAACAGCCATTGGGAAAGGATCCCAAAGCACTATAAGTATTAAACTTTTCAAAGATGAGGAAACTAAAACATTAGAAAGGGAAAAGTGAAGAATTTCCTGATCCTGCCATTAATCTTTTGAAATACAATTAAATAAATACATAAAAGGTATTGCTTGATATGACAGTCCAAATTTTCAAAAAGCTACAATAAATCTTTTTTAAGATTAAGACCCATTTACAATACATTATAAAAAGCAACAGAGAAAGGTATATGCCAAAAATATTATAAATAAATGCTGGTACTTTTCAAAGGAAGGAGACACCCTGTCTAGCTGAAATTATGAAAAGCTTTATAAAGAAGGAAGAGGTGATAAGATGGGCTTGAAAGTACTGGTGACAGGGCTTTTTGAAATGAAGTTGGAAGGGGGAAGAATATGGGCAAAGAACAGTATAAACAAAGACATCAAAGTCAGGATGCGTATCAAAGTTTGTTTATCCAACTACCCACTAATAGAATTGTTCTAACAAATTTTAAAGATTTATCTATTTTTTATACCATCAGGTTATAAATGACTGTCAGTGTTGTTACAACAGCCTGGTCTATGTGACATAGATTAGACTATTGGCCACTCAAACACTAATAATACTGTGACAAAACAAAGATCTTGCTGGCTATACCTAGGTTATAATAGTGTTTGGGCATTTATATGCTTTTGATGAATAACAACTTTAAAAAATTATAGTATACTTTTAGATAGAGTATTACACTATCTAAAAATCTGGAAAGTTTATTTGGGATTAATTTGGCTCTAGAAACTAGGCATAAATAATCATCTAAATTTGACAGTAGTTTATTATATATACACAAGTTAAGTTAGGAAAGGGTTGACAAAACCTCAAAATAGAAAAGCCTTGCCCACCAGATGGGAGTGTGTGTGTGTGTGTGTATCTGTGTATGTGTGGTGGTGGTATTATACTTGATTCAAGAGACTTGAGTCAGTATCCTAACAGTGCTGGTGCCCATTCCTTCTAAAACTGGCAAATAACCACAGTGAAGGTCAACAACACAAAAAGATTCAGTAGAAGCTAGTGCCATCAAACCCTGGGAACACTCAAGACCAGAATGAACTCCTTCAGTCCCATGAAGACACAAACCCCTTCATTCATCCTTGATTTAGAAGTTCCTTCTAATCCAAGATTTGGATTTCTCTCACTTTTCAGAATTAAAACAAACACCATTTCATTTCCTTCCACTAATTTTATATGATTAAATCCTACCGTGTTCATTAATGTTGATTCAGAGTTGGCAACCAAAACGAAGACATCAGCATCTAAGCAAAACTTATCAATCCAGCTATCCAGCTCTGTAGTGACATCTGTACCTGGACTAATGGAAATAAAATAAAAAATTATACATTTCTTAAAGACAATTTTTAAAACTTTTATAGTTTAAAGTCTAAAGGACAGAATTTCTCAGTCATCAGTATGAAACCCAGGAGATTTACATTATTTTCTCACCTATAAGAAAGTACTTGTGGCAAGGTGAGAGCCATATTTATTCTGCTGACAAGGAACTTCAAGAGCCTATCCAAATGAGAACAAATGCTTAAAAAATATATAACTAAATAGAAAAAAAAAAAAAAAAAAAGAGCCCCCAGCCAGGGCAATAGTTTAATCTCTTAAATGTTTATGTTTTGAAAAACTAAAAAATAAGTACTAAAAACAAACAAGGCTAATGTATAATAAAAAATAAAGGTGCTGCTCTAGCCAGTTTGACTCAATGGATAGAGCATTAACCTTTGGACCAAGAGGCCCAGGGTTCGAATCCAGTCAAGGGCACATGTCCAAGTTGTGGGCTCGATCCTCAGAAAGGAGCATGCATGAAGCAGCAGATCAATGATTCTCTCTCATCATTGATGTTTCTATTTTTCCCTCTCACTTCCTCTCTGAAATCAATAAAAATATTGAAAAAAAAGAAGGAATTTAAAAATTAAGGTTATAGCAGCTACATTCAGTACAGCTCAGAAAAGACTAGGTGCTTATAAGCATAAATAATGAAAAATAAAACCACCTCTACTAGATGTAAATATAGTGTACAATCAATACTGTAAAATTTATAGTGCAGCTATCTATCAAGTTGGCTTGAAGTGTCCTGAAACAAGGTGGTTAGTTGACAGGAAAGTGTCATGGATACATTCTGATCATGAAATAAAAGCAAAATTAATTAGCTAATATTACTCTATTTAAACCAAATATTTTTATTTCATAAGCATCCTTGCTCTCATCTGAGCTATTTCTATTAATTGAAAAAAGTTTTCAATTAAAAGAAATGCCTATCCTCAAAAAACAAAATGGGTTCCACAGAACACTGAAATTTTAACTGAAGAAAACAAAAAGAACACATAAAAAATAATTTAAGCACCTTTTTTGGTAAATGACATTGCTTAACAGACATGAATTATCATTTATTAAGCACTGGTGTAGTAAGATAATTTAAAAACACATATAAATGCAAATTAATGAGAAGAGTTGGAAAAAAATTCCAAAAGTACTTGATTAATTCTTAACCAATAAAAAGCTACAAGAATTGTCCAGCAAAGTTATTTTGGAAAATTTGGTCTCAAGAATTAAAAATTAACCATTTATAATTCCCTACCTAGGTACCTAGAATTAGACAATCTCTAAGGCCCAGACATTTACACAAACTATGAAGTCAATCTAGAGAAACAAAGAAATAAGACAAAAGTAACTATTCTTGAAATTTTTTATAATAGAAATAGACTAATAAATTGGCACTTTTAGGATATGATTAAGATACAAAAACAAACACCTTATTTGTTCTTTAATAGTCTAGAAAATAAGAACAAAGCAGCAACTGAACATTTTAAATTTTTATGTACTTATGCTAAAGCAAGCAGCATTATTTTATAAGTACACCTTTACAAAAAGAAAATGCAATTCACATGTAATTTTACCTGTCTACTAAAACCAGGTCATCTCTCAAGAGGGCACATTTTGCCTTTGGCCAAAACACATGCACAAGAGAGCCAGCTTTTAAGTCTTTGTCCATATGCAGGGCATGGGCCAGCTGATTAACTGTCTAAAGTTATGAGGAAAAGAAAAAACAAAACATTCACTTGTAATAAATTGTAAGAAAAATAAAAATAATATAATTTGGTATAACATTTACTTTTGTAAATAATGCATAAAAATCAGAACTTTAAATAATTTGAAATAAAACCATTTGAGAATCTTAAAAAACCCCAGTTTTAGAATTACCAAATAGAAAAAAAAAAAAAAGTTATCCGATAAACTCAAACAGCAAACACCAGACTCATGAATTCACCTACAATTTACCAAAAACTAAAATGGTATGAATGTTCAAACATTCAACTTCTGCATTGGTGGGACAGAAATTGAAACTTAGCCCAACTGGAGTGGCAAAGTGGTTGAGTATCAGCCTATAAACCAGGTGGTCATAGTTTGATTCCCGGTCAGGGTACATGCCTGGGTTGCAGGCTTGATAGCCAGTGTGGGGCATGCAGGAGGCAGCTGATCAATGATTCTCTCTCTCTGTTTCTATCACTCTGCCCCTCTCCCTTCCTCTGTGAAATCAATAAAAATATATTTAAAAAAAAAACTTAAGAAAAAGTGACTGAAGTGAGAAACAATGCCTTTAAACCAATAGTTCTCATTGCAGTCAACTCTTATATCCAATTTTTTATATTATTGTTTTTAGCTGAAGGAATCTAGTGGTACTGAATCCATTAAGAAATTTATGAAAGAAAATTTTCTTTAAAAAAGACTTCAACTTTTCATTGGGACATTATTTTAAAAACTTAGTTAGCTTTTTAAACAAACAAACAAACAAACAAACAAACAAACAAACCCTCACCTGAGGACATGCTTAGAGAAAGGAAGGGAGAGAGGGGGAATGGGAGAAAGACAGAAAAATCAATTGATTGCCTTCTGTAGGTCCGTATATGCCCAGAGGAATCGAACCAGCAACCTTTGAGTGCACAGGAGGCCACTCAACCAACTAAGCCACTTCAGTCAGGCAAAAACTTAATAAGCTTTTATCTTTTATTAACTTACATTTTAAGTTAAGGGTAGGGTTTCTTATCCCAGTAATTTAACTCTGAAGCAAAAGAATTTAAAATATTACTGATGGCACAGACATTAAGGCTTCTTCCATCTCCAGCAATGCAGGCATCTGATAATTCTTTTTAAAGAACTAGGGCATGGTTTAAGATACATTATGTTGCTAAGGTCAAATGTAATACCTTCACACTCTTTTTTTCATCTGATCCTTCTGTCATAAGATAAGCTCTGTCTCCATCGGTTCCTTCAACACTCAGTAAGCAATTGGTTGTATGGCCAATCCCACTGGGGAGGACTTTATCCCACAACATTGCATTGATAACAGAGCTCTTCCCACTGCTTGTCCTGAAGAATGAATATGCAAAATTATGAAAAACAAAACATAACAGTAAAAACTTTGTTCTTTTACTGGGTCTAGGACTGACTTTTTTATAATTCAAATTTTGTTAAATTTCATCAGATGGCATTTTTCATGAAAGAGTTGATAATTTATACAAATATTAGCAATGTACCTTTCAGAAAGATAAAGTAGAGGAAAACAAATCCTACCTTTCCCATAAAGTTATCCTTGCCTTCTATTTCTTGCTTTTTGGGACAATTTGAAATCATAGCCCCAAATTCTGTGACATACCCAGCCCAAAATGTGGTCTAATGTCCCATGTCCTTAAATCCACAACTAACACTTTCTCAAGTAGGACAACTGAGGCATCACCCTCTAGGATAGTGGTCACCAACCGGTGGTCCGTGAGGTCCAAAAGGTTGGTGACTCTAGGAGGCCTTTTCCTTCCCACTCTTACTCCACTTAGTCTGAGGTAGGGCCTCTTTAATAGACCTACCTCATCCTAGACTCTCAAAGGCCTTGAGAATATATGATTAAGTGGGAGAAGCAGACAATAAAAACATAAAACAAAAGTAACAAAGTGCTATTAACACTGTTTTAAAGGACATAAACAGGGTGATTTAGTAGAGAATAACCAAGAAGGAATATTTAACAGTGAAGAGGAAAGGTTTCTAAGGTAGTAATACTAAGGAAGAGAAAGAGCCAGATATACACAGAACACAGAGAATTCTATGAATAGGAAATTGCAAGTGCTAACGCCCTAAGATGGAAACAGCTTAGAAGGCATAGAAGATGTAGTGAGTACATAAATGGCTCTATTGGTACATTGCACATATTTGATCACCAGGTATGAGCTAGTCATTTGTCTTTGCATCCCTGATGCCCAACAGAGTGCATGATACTTAGGTAGTTAACAAATGATCCTCGAATGAATGCAGAAACTACAGCAGAGATCCCTTTATCACTCCAACGGGTTACATTAAGTACTGACACTTTCACCCTAGCCTGTTGGGCTCAGTGGATAGTGTTGCCTGTGGACTAAACGGTCCCGGGTTCGATTCCCATGAAAGGCATGTACAGTGGTTACAGGTTCATCCCCAGCCCGTGCCTTGGTTGGGGCTGGTGCAGGAGGCAATCAGTCTATGTTTCTCTCTGTCTTTCCCTCTCTCTTCTACTCTACCTAAAAATCAATGGAAAAATATTCTCAAGTGAGGATTAACAACAACAAAAAAGCTTCATTAATTTTCTGCATAATATCTTGTATTAAAATTATTCTTAAACAAACAAAAAAACAAAGACAAAAGAAAAACACCTGGCACTTCCTACTCTCTGGGAATCATGGAGCTGAGAATCCTTTCAGAAGACATACCTGATAATCATCAGAAGCTTAAAAGAGTAAGTCACAATTATGTATATTATTATCTGCATTTCTATTCTTTTTAAAAAATGTTTTTATTGAATTTAGAGGGGAGAGGAAGAGGTAGAAACTTCAATGCTAAAGAAACACCAACATAGATTGGCTGCCTCCTGCACACCCCCTGCTGGGGATTGAACCTGAAACCAAGACATGTGCCCTGACCAGAAATCCAACCAGAGACCTCTTGGTATATGGTTTGATGTTCAACCACTGAGCCATAGCAGGTGTGCTGTATTTCTATTCCTATAACTGGCCAATTCTTAGATATGAGCATCCTTTAAAAAAAATAAAAATATGATTGACCTCCATAGCTTCATTTTATATCAGGAACTAAAATAAATTATGCTAACAGATTTATCATAACATAGCCAGAAACTTTTGTGAGAGAAGGGGGAGAAATATCACTTGCTGGAATATCAGAAATAAAGCTGAGGCTATGAGAAAAAGCTGATTTCTGGAAACTACCTTTGAGAAGAAATAATGAAGGATTACCTGCCAAAAAAGGCCACTTTCATTTGTCTGCGAGACAGCACCTCACCAATGATGGAAAGCTTGTTTTTATACCTCCGTATTTCTACTAGATCATCCTCAGTAGCTATTCGATCAAGTTCTGAATTCCTGTACGTTGCTGCAAAATTGCAAAGGTATTAGAAAGAGTGATAAAGGAATATTAAGAATTATATAATGTAAAATCTAATATATGAATGTATTTTGGCTCTGTTCTATATTAACATGCCGTTTGAAAAGTAAAAATGCCCATATCTGAATATTTGGTAAAAGATGAATGCCTTCTTGCAATGGTTCATAAAAATCCTCCCCAAAAGAATGTCAAAATTATTAAGACATACAGGGGCCCAATAAAAAGGGTATATTTGTTATTCATCTGGGTCTCAAAAATACAAAACAGCCAACTAAGACACAAATATATTTCTGAGCAGAGAAACTAGAATATGCACCTATCATTGTTCCATCCTGACCGAATCTTAAAATCTTGAGCTGAGAAGAGGGATACCCATGTTAAGAGTAAAATCTGAATGGACACCCCCCAAGAAATAAAGACATGGTTTAAGATCTCCAAGCTAGGTAAGACTTTGCCACCTTATCACTTCTTATCTGCTACCCACAGGGATGACCAAAACAACTCATTTTACAAGAAAGAGAACTATAGATGGAATCTCACCCCAGCCCAACCTCCTCTTCCCCAAGGATAAGCCTTGGGTTTGAAAAGTAGAAAAGCCTTTCAGTTTTGTTTTTATTTAAGATTATAAATGTTTACATTTATTTTGCAGGCAAAAACATGGAGATTCACTTGGCAAATTGGAGACAAACTGTTAATAGAATTCTGGGGACTAGCTGAGAAATAAAAAAAAATATATTAATCATGCTCTGTTAATTCTGATTGTTTTATCTGATTAAAGAAAGCATATTTTAACCTGGGAGTTGTAGGCCTCTGGGACCTAGGAGTCAACCTTGGAATGTGGTCCATCCTCACTCAAGAACTGATTAATGTCAAGGAAAGATTACAACCTTGTTGTGCAAACAAATGGAGTTCCACTTCCCGCCCTCTCTCAGCACCCTCCAGCCTACCTGGCCTGCCTCCCCATGTCGATGATTCCTGCTTCCCCATGTAATCTTTGTCCTACCCAATCTAATCAGCTGTCTTATGGGGGCTGCGGAGCAGATTTTTGTAGATGACCCGTGGCTCCGGCATAAACACTCATATGTAATTCAATCTTGTCTCTGCTTAATTGGGCTCAAGTAGTGACAGGCAGCCTGGCCCCATTGACTCTCTGGTTACAAAACAATGATATAGCTTACCCAGTACTCATCTATTCAACATAAGCCTTTCATATATCTTCATACTTTTCAGGTGCAATAATAAAATACATGAGGTCTGGTGAATAAAGTTAAGGAAATGAATAAATACAATTACATTCACCTTTGTTTTTCATTTTATTCTTGTTCTTGTATATTCTTCCTGATTTATTTGCTTTGTCTCTTTTCATAACATTTTTTCCCCTGAGGTTCTAAAGCCAGTAAAATCGAATTCAGATTTTAAAGCTGCTATTCACTAGCTCCTAGCAGGACGCTCAATCTATAACTAGCTCATAACACAAAATATATTTAATTTTATCTTCACTTCCTATCAACTGTTTTAGAATAAAATACAATTCAAAGTCACTGTCCCAGTTCAAATTTTTCCCAAACTGTAAATATAAATGTTCTACACCAGTACTTTTTTTCTCACTCCAAAAAAACTGGAATTGTGTTATGGTTTGATGATAGAGACACAATAATAAGGCAGAATCTCTACCCTCAAGGAGTTCAAAATCTGGTGAGGGAGGTTAGGGGAGAAAAAGTAAAGTTTGATTCTACTAATCTATTGAATGTGTCCCAATTGTAACCGAGAGATTTCTGAAATTCCTCCCTTATCAATGTACCCTTGAAGGTCATGTACTCTTCAGATCCAGAAAAGTTTTCACCAGTAATCTTCAAGGCAAGTAATCCTTAGCAAGCCACTCCTATCCACCTTTGTTGGAACAGTTACTTATATTCATTTTAGGAAGACTTTTTTGGTCCTTTCCCAGACTCCCAGCCTCACTTGAGAGAATAAAATAGGCCCGAGATCTTGGCTTAACTACTGAGTTGGGGGGAGGGGGAAAAGATAAGTATAATGGCCAACTGTGGGTTGCCTAATTTTTAGTCTGGGCATTTACTAACTTTGTGGAAAGAGGAAGAAAGAGACAAACATTGATGTGAGAGAAAACCATTGACAGGCTGCCTCCTGTATGTGCCCCGACTAGGGATTGAACCCAAAATCTAGGCATGTGCCCTGACTGGGAATCAACCCCGCAACCTGCTGTTGTTTACAGGAGGACACTCTAACCAACTGACCCACGTGGCCAGGGAGTCTTGGGCTTTTTTTTTTTTTATCTGTAAAATGAGTGTGATTAAAATTGTGCCTCAATGTTGATATGAGGACTAAATAAGCTATTAGTGTTACTGATTTGAGTTAATAATTATAGTTAAAATTTATTTTATATAAGTATAAAATGAGTCATTAAGTTTTTAATGTGTTGTTAATATAATAAAGTGCTAGGATATTACCTCACCTACAAACACTTATTTCTTAGTTGTTATTAATTCCATTTTATCTTCCTCCTCTGGAGGGCAAAGATGGGTTTTATTTGTTATGGTATCTCTCATGGCCTATACCACAATGCCCCCATATTTGTGTTCAGGAACTAAGGCTGAAAGAAGAATGCACCCTCTGTATATTCTCAACAGCCTTTATTTGAAAAACTTATATGAGAAACTAACCTTCAATAAAATGTGAACCTTGAGTAACGAATTCCAGTAACTGGTCAAAAATTGCAGTAATTGCCTTCTTAGCCAGCACAAAGCGTTTCAGGGGAGAAGCAGTATCCTCCGCCATTATGCTACTGGGAGAAAATAAAATAGAAGAATAAAAAAGCACAAATTAAACTGGATCACAGACACCTGCAAGTCAACGGCACGTCTCCGGCGACACCGGTGACCTTACTAACCAAGGAAATAAAAGCAACCGCCGAAACTGTTTTCATAATCGCTGGAGAGAAGGGTTTTGGTCTGACAACCGGAGATGCTTTTGAGGAGTCTGCCCCCAAAATTAGTGCCAACATTTTGGCTGCAATTTCTACTTTACTTAACTGTGGCTAGACTGCGACTACATGGGACTCTTAAAAGTGCATCGGGAACAGGGTTAGCGAGAAGCCAAGTTCACCTACAGTGAGTGATGCCTCAGCCCGGAGCTCTAGGTGGGTGGAGGCGGCTATGCAGAGTGAAGACATAAAATGCCAAGGCCATTCTTCCGTCCTGAGGTTTGGAGAGGAGGAGTTCTCACAACGAGTACTAAGAAGGGCAAGGCTTGAAGCGAGCAGTGACGTTTCCAGCCCAGGGCCCACGAACTTCAAGGAACAGAAGTTTAAAGGGAACGAAATTTCCCCTGACAGCCTCTCATGAAAAAGACACTAAACACACACACACAACCCCAAGAATAAGCACCCATCGTGTGTGAGTGTGATGGGGCAGAGTGGGCCTAAGGGAAGCTGAGGATCGGGAATGGACCGGGCGAAGGAGCCGCGTGGGGCCGGCAGCGCCCGCTTCCTCCCGGGGCAGCGCCTACCTTGGGGGAGGCCTTCCACGCCGGGCACCGCGGCCGCGGGCTCCGCCGGCAGGGCTGGCGGCCAGGCCCACCCCGCCCCGCGCGCCGTCCGGACCGGCTCCCGCTCCCCGGGCTTCGGCCGCGCGGGCTCCTCGGGCCAGACCCGCCCGCCGCCCCACTCGCTCGCTCCCGTCCCGCAGGACCGCGGCGGCGGCGACTCGTCACAGAGCACCCCCCGCGCACGACTCCCCGCCCCGTCCCCGGCCGCACGAAGGTCACCCCGGGCGAAGGAACCGGCCGGCGGCCAAGGCAGATGACACTCACACCGTCCTGGCTCCCACTCGTCACCGGCCCCGGCACGCCAGGCAGCAGCCCCCACTCCACCGCATCCCGGTCTGGCAGGCCAGGAGGCAGGAGGAGTGCCAAGGGGGCGGTAACTTCCGGCCTCTCGCTCTGAAGGAATTTGATTGGCTGCCGCCTTGCCGGAAGTGCCCCCACGTAGGGGGCCATCTTTGTTACGGGCAGAAGGCAAGGTTTGTGGTGGGTGAAGCATGCGCCCAGAGGAAATACTTGACGTTGACCCTCCCTTCCCTCTCCTCCTGCTCCAGCCTCCTCGGGATTCTCCCTTTCGAGGTGCCACGCACAGCCCCGTCTTAGCTAACTGCCAGCGGCCAGTTGAGGGAGGGAGAGCTAAGAGGAGGTTGGGTGAGGTGGGGTTGGAGCAACCAAACACGAGGGATTCCCTCCCGCTGAAATAAAGAAAGGAAAGCCTTTTGGCCACTTCACTGCCCTCTGCCCTGAACGGGGTTTCTGGCCTTGGAGCACAGCTGTGTGTGTGTGTGTGTGTGTGTGTGTGTGTGTGTGTGTGTGTGTGTGTGTTGAATTACTTTAGAAGTGAGACATAGGAAATGGATGCATCCTTGTCTATTGCTTCTTCTCAGACTTTGTAATTAGGAATCACCTTGGGATCTTGTTTTTAAAAATATATATTGATTTTTTTATAGAGAGGAAGGGAGAGAGACAGAGTTAGAAACATCAATGAGAGAGAAACATCAATCAGCTGCTTCTTGCACACCCCCCACTGGGGATGTGCCCACAACCAAAGTACATGCCCTTGACCGGAATCGAACCCATGACCTTCCAGTCCGCAGGATAGGCCCATGCTCTATTCATTGAGCCAAACCCATCAGGGCTGGGGATCTTGTTAAATTGCAGATTGAGTCATTGGGTTAACATCCTTAGGGAGCGGCTGATGGTGGTCTGTAGGGCTCAACACAGTTCCTGAGGGTCTTACTTTAGAGCTGGCAAGTAAGGTGCAGTTTTGTTTTTTAATTCTTTATGGTTGAAAGTATTACATATGTCTTCTTCCCTCCCACCCCCCATTGACTTCTCCCAGCCCAGCCCCACCCACCAGCACAGGCCTTCCACCTCCCTATTGTCTGTGTCCATTGGTTATGCTGATATGCGTTTTGAAGTGAAGCCGCTTCATCTTCCTGAGCCTGAGGTTTTTTATCAATAAAATTGGAGTACTTATAACACCTACCTTGTTTGTTGTGAAGATGGGTCAATATCATGTAGAGTGCTTAGAACAGTGTTGGGCGTATAGTAAGAACTGGATAAATACACATTTTCCTTCCTGTGGACAAAAAAAGGGGGTTCTGTGGAAAGTAGCATCCCAGGTCTGATCATAGAGTCCTAACTGGGCAGGTCATGTGGGTAGTCATGGCCCAGACCTATACTCTTTAGTGAAAGGTTTTAAACCAGCCCTGCTTGTGCTTTTCTTGTGTATCTGTTAACACACTTATCCTTCCTTTGCATTCTCCAATCTCTCTTACATCCCTTCATTAATTTTAAATGTAAGGAATAATTCAATTCTTTGTAAATCAGATTTAAAAATTAGGATAGTATTAATCTGTTGAAAAAGAAAAGCCTATATGTACTACTCCTGCCAACAATTCAGCAAATACCTAATAACCTGCTACTGGCCCAGTGGAACTGAGGAACTATTATGTGATGACATACATTTAAAGAAACCTAAGAAAGGTGATTTAAAATAGTAAAAGTGGCAAATTTACAATAGGGAGAGTCTTGAGTAGTATACAATGACCTTGGAATTTTGGAGTACAAGAGAAATGCTTTAGGATTTCAATAGTAACTCATTGCAAGGTGGAGATAAAAAGAGCAAGAAAAAAAAAAAAAAGACCTATCACTACTGATCATTGAATTCTATTGTAGTACTAATAAAAAACATTCATACTTGAATTGTGGTTCAAGTCAGAGTACAGTGGAAATACCATTATGGGAGGAAAAAACCCAAAAGTAGTTAGAAAATTTTCTTTTTAGATATGATTTTCCAAAGCAGTCCTTTAAGTAAAAATATAAACCAGCTACGTCAGCAATTTAGTCAGTCACAGACTTATTTGAAAGCTGAATCAAAGCCAAAAGTTTTTATTGGGACAAGCAGTCAGGTGGATGTCACTTCAAGCTGCAGATTCATCAAAAATACAAAATGTTTATGTTTTTAAAACTTGAATTTAATATGTTTAGTTTCATAACAGTCTTTTTAAATTTGATTACTAATACCTGATCAAAATAAAGCAATAAATTACAGAATTTTACAAAACCAATAAGGCATTACTTAAGATTTGTTTCCTGAAAATTAAATTCCTGGAGCTTGATGTATACCAAAAAAGTGTAAAAACAGAATTACCAAGGAGGCAGCTGAATGGCTAGATTAAGTAGCCATGAAAAATACCCCAAGGACAAAGTTTACATTTTTATGTAACATAGTGTAATGGAAACATTAGACCAGAAGCCAAATAACTTGGATTCCATCCTGTTGGCTCTAATGGTTTTGTGTCCTTGACCCAACAGCAACCTAAGTTTCTTTTTATACAAGAAACTTAGAAAACCAGAGGGTTTAGATGAGATGGTTTCTAATTCAAACTATTTAAACATTTGTATGAGACAGCCCTGCCTGGAAAGTTGAAATCAGATGGGATGGCAGTTTGTAAGAATACAGATACACATATATGACAAAACAGTAGAGAAACAAATGATTGGTTCTAAAAGTACTTTTTGCTGCCAACATTTTCAAAATAGGTTAAATGCCCATTGTTTTTGAAGTGGAAAAATCATAGGTCATAAATTGGTTTCTTCAACTGTATCTGTATTCCTTAACAATATTGTTAGCTGCAGTTTTTATTAAATTTGAAGCCAATGATATGCAAAATTTTACCTTCTTTATAGTATTTAAGAAGCTGCTTTTAAATTGTGATTGTGTCTCCCTCCTTCCTCAGAATTCATATGTTGAAGTTGTAGGACCCAGTACCTCAAAATTTGGGGATATTGGTCTTTACCATATCCAACAGAACTGATGTCTTTGTAAAAAGGGGACATTTGGAGACAGACTTGCATATAGGGAGTACACCATGTGAACGAGAATGTCCACCTACAAGCCAAGGAGAGGGGCTCAAAACAGATCCTCCCCTCACAGTGTCAGAAGGAACAAACTGCCAACATTTCAATTTTCAAATTTTAAGCTCTAAAACAGACAATGCATTACTGTTTAAGCCACAGTTTGAGATAATTTGTTATGGCAGCCACAGGAAACTAATATAGAGCTAACATTATTTTACCTTTATCAAAAGTAATGTGTACATTATTATTGCCTAGATCTTCCTGTTAATACTTGTGTGGAATTTCGTAGTTAACAAATAAGTGGAAATCAAAAATTTGGACTTTGCAGTTGGATAACTGAAAGTGAAATGTCAACAGGTTAAGCATTATGAAATGTTACTTTTTCATTGTCTAATCTCTTACCAGTTCCTCCCCACCTCCACCTTAAATTCTTGAACATATATACACCATTTAATTTATATAAGGACTAAAATAAAGTGGGAGGGGGGAATACTGCCAAAAACACTGGCCTTCTAGTGTTATTAAAAGAATCACTCAGATGGAGAGCTCTGAGGATAATTACTGATGGGCAATGCAAAAGGAGGATCTGGAATCTTATTAATGGGAGTACTGGTAGACTTAATTGTATATTATGTTACATTTTAGTTTTGGTACTGCAGTATTTTACTGTCTTCATTCATGAAAAACTAAGCTTGTCTTGAGTTTTAAAAAGTTAACAGCACCAATGGTTATGGAAGGAAAACAAGTCTAGTATTTTTAGTACATCTGGTTCTTATCCATTCATGAAATCAGAGCACATGTACAGGATAATAAACCCCAGGAGTGGTTAAAACTATGAGCTACCATGCACTGAAAATATATTTTGGATACATTCATATACTGAAAAATGTAGCCATGCCAAAAGAATTGAACTATTAAAAATCTTGCTTGTTAATTGTTTAAAATCATCCTTAGCATCTCCAAAAATGTTATATTTATTATTTTACATTAACATTATGGAAGTTAAAGAGAATCAAGTTGTCTCATGGACTGGAATGTGACTTAATAATTCCCTTTCATTTCCAAACCTCATCAAGCAGTCACTACATTTATGAGGTAAGTCAGCTGAATGCTTGAAGTCTAGGTGAATTTTAAGATCTTCAATTTGTCCTGTTGAATATTCACAGTATTGACATAAATAAATCCCTTCGGATAAATGTGAATTTAAATGTTTGCAATATTCTAGCATACTTGAAAAGCCTTTGCCACAGTCATCACAAACATGAGGAAAAATTTTAGTATGTTCAATAGCAACATGCCTGTTAACGTTTGTATGAAGTCTACTCCGAAAACCACAAACTTGACATACAAAGAAGTTTTTACATTTGTCAAAAGTAATTTTGCTCAGGAGACTGTACTGTCCATGCTCTCCAGTGTTATATTTGTCACTTAACTCTATTAATTTACATGCATGTTCATTTACCACATGGCTATGCAAGTCTTCTGGATCATTTGTTTCATGTTCACAGAACTGACACAAGTACTGCTCATCACAGCTGTGCTCCTGGAAATGCAGGTAGAGCTCACTGCTTGAGGAGAACTGTACATCGCACTGCTCACACCAATAAAGGTGATCACTAAAATGGGTGTCGGCAATGTGCTGGCTGAGGTTCTCAAAAATCACTGTCTTATAATCACAGTATTTACAAATGTAGGGATCCTCTTCATGCAGTTTGGCATGTTCGATCAGAAGCATGTTGGTAGAGAAACTTTCCTTGCACACTCGACACACATTTGAATCAGTACGCTTATGCTTTAGGATCATATGCTGCTTTAAATCAGAAAAATACTTGCTGTTGAACTCGCAAAGTTCACATTTATAGAGGCCGCTACTATTAGCTCTCAGCAAAGGCCATTTCTGCTGGGCAGTCACATTGAGAGCTTGGCTCTTATCAAGAACTTTGCAAATTTTAGCTGGTGGCTCTTCATCAGTTTGGTCTTGAAGACTCTCAGAGGAATTGTTTTCTGTCTCTAAATCGTAATCTTCAGAAATTGCATGCACTTCTGCAGCAATTGGAACGTCTTCAGCAGTGTGAACTTCTATAGGACTCTCCTCTTGAATTTGTTGGGTGAGTGATTCTGGTGAGTCACACTCCTCATCACAAATTTCAACATCGACAGATTTTTCTGAAAAAATAAAACAAGACTATTATTACTATTACTAAATAAAACCTACTAAATAAATAACTGGCAAAAATTTATTTTATGCATTATCTCTTCAATGATGTATAAGAATATGCAAATGCTATTAGTTAGTTTCCCTAACCTGTAGAAAAGGCAGTGTGGTCTATAATTCTAAGTACGGGACTGGGAACCAGATAGTTCTGATTTCTGTTTCTGGCCTTGATTCCGTCTGTAAATTTTGGCAAATCATTCGATGTCTCTGTATCAGAATCATCATCTGTAAAGAGAAATTTGGAAACACTTATTGTTTATATCAAAGTATTAAATTAAATGTTAAAAGCACCAAATATTTTAAATATAATTTTGAATTCCAACAGGAATAACGACTTTGATTTGAAGATGTTATGTATATCACAGACACACAAAAAAATCTGTCCAAACAAGTAAATGCTTTTGCTTCCATGCCCCATCTGGACTAGAACACACTTTTTAATGTTACTAAATTTGAATAAGCCTTTATCCCCTCAGCCCAGCCCCAATGTTTTAAAGTTAGCATGGATAAACTGAAATACAGGTCAGTAGAGAACACTGGGCTTCAACCTGACATCATTGTTATTTTTTAATGTTACTGATTTTTTAGAGAGAGAGAGAGGAAGGGAGAGGGAGAATGAGATAGAAACATCAATGAGAGAGAAACACTTGATCAAATGCCTCCTGCACATCCCATACTAGTGATGGAGCCTACAACCCGGGCATGTGCCCTGATGAGGAATAGATAACCTCTTGGTTTATGGGTCAATGCTCAACCGCACTGAGCCACATCCGCAGTGTTGTTTTTAATATACTTTATTTTTTGATGTTTAAGATTTATGGAAAAATTTTGAGTACAGAGAATTCCCATATATCCTGCAGTTTCTCCACTATTAACATATTATAATGTACATTTGTTACAATTCATGGCCATTGCCAATAAATCCATACTTCCTCCAGATTTCCTTAGTGTTTAGCTAATGTCCTTTTTCTGCTCCAGGATCCCATATGGCATTTAGCTGTCAAGTCTCTCTAGGCAACTGTTAGCTGTGACAGCTTCTCAGACTTTCCTTGGTTTTGATGACCATGACAATATCAAGAACAGATCAGGTATTTTGTAGGACGCCCCACTATTAAAATGCATCTGTTGTGTTTGCATGATTCAACTGTGATTATGGGTTATTGAGAGCAGACTACAGAGGCAAACTGCCATTTTATCACAACTTATCAAAGGTACATTTGATTAACATGATTTATTATTGCCGATGTTGACTCTGATCACCTAGTTGAGGTAGTGTTTATCAGATTTCTCCTCTGTAAAGTCATTCTTTTACTTTCATTTACTCTGTGCTTTGGAAGGGGCACATTGTAGAGTCCACATTTCAGAAATAAGGATTTATATTCCACCTCCTTGAGAGAGCAGTATCTACATAAATAATTTGGAATTTTTCTGTACAAGAAATTTGTTTCTTCCCAAGTCTTGTCTAGAAGGGGTCAGTAAGCAGTAGGCATTTCTCCAAGAAGCCCTAGTTCCTTTCATTGGAGAATGATACTAGACACCAAGATCGCAACACTAAATGTGCTCACTGCTACTGGGTGTCATTTCTTTTATGCCCTCTCAGACAATGAAACAAAAATATATGTTTGTGTATACCACCACATTTGTATACCTATAAATATTTCTGTATGTTACATCTGTGTCTCTATCAAGCCAAACATGAGTTCATACTGATGTCTCTGATTCCATATTATCTTTAATAATTTATGTTTCTGTGTCTGTAACAAGAACTCAAGAAAACTGAGAATTTTGATGGTTACAGAGGAGAGAGAAAACAAACCCAAGTTGTTGTCATTCATTCAATGCTCTAGAAAAGAGTAGCAAACAGAAGATGAAAGATTGAAGAAGACCAAACCTTTACTCTGTTCTTTCCTTCCATTAGCCCTCTAGACTGGAAGGTATAGTTGAGTGAAAGAACCATCTATAACACCATAATACTCTCAACTCTGCATCGCTCCTGTTTTGCCACCAATTCCTAGCCAGCTAAAATAAATTTAGGAAAAATGTACTTTTTTTTTTTTTTAATATATCTGAAATAATGTTAAAAATTAAAATTCACTTACTTGCTTTATAACAAAAAGATAGTTTTCTTGCATTTAAACAAATTTAAACACTTGCCCATTTTGAAATCATAACTCACCCACATTTTCAAATAAGTAAGAAATAATTATAAAAGTAATTTAAAGAAAAATATTTTGGAAAATATTAGATATACCTTTGTTGTCAAAATATTTTAAGTCTGGTTGCCTCATAGAACAGACACTGTAACAATGATCAGAAAAGATTCCACTGAATCCATCTGCAATTCTGCTTATTCCAGAGGAATCTGAACATAAAACAAAATTTTAAAAATTTCAAGCACAGTAAACATATACATTTATGACAGCCACCCCTTTATCCAACATACATAAATTTTTATAGTATCTGTAATACTGTAACAGTTCCCTCAATTCTGATATCTTTTATATTTCAAACCTGATATTAACATTGAGTTTTGAAAGAACCACAATTATATAATATAAAAATATAATACTTTGAAGCATAGGTATAAAGATACTTTACTGTCTAAATCCAAAAAAATAAAAATATGTAATTAATGTGTTAATTGCAAAAAATAAAGCAATACACCCAAACCTAAAATAACTCCAAGAAGACATTCTCTGAAGTACAAAAAAAGCATTCATGAATAGGAAAAATAGTGGGAGGACCAGTTAGGGCTTCTGAGTATAGCCATTTCAAGTTTTGTCTGGGAGTGGTCAGTAAGTAGTAAATTACCAGATTTAATTTCCTTAGATATGAAGAATGTGTAGATTGGGTGGGCTAACATGTATGCCTGAGATTGTTCCAAGTACTATACATGTGAGGTATATTACAGATGATCACAAAGATCTCTTTTCCACTTTAAAAAAATAAAAATACTTTTATTGATTTCAGAGAGGAAGAGAAAGGGAAAGAGATAGAAATATCAATGATGAGAGAGAAACATTGATCGACTGCCTTTTACATGCCCTACACTGGGGATCAAGCCCACTACCCAGGCATGGGCCTTGATAGGGAATCGAACCATGACCTCCTGGTTCATAGGTCGATGCTCAACCACTGAGCCATGCTGGCCAGGCAAGACCTCTTTTAAATACTGCCAAGATAGCAGAATTAACATCAACAAAGGATCTAACATTACAAAATCAAAATAAAAGTTCACATTTCTGAAAGTAATATATAGAATAAAAATTTTTTTTTGCAATGCACAAAATTTCTTCTAACAAGGTTATTGTTGTGCTTAAGCACAAGGTTGGGAAGCACACAGACAAATTTCAATTATGCTGTATAAGTATCCAAACTTTGATATTTAACTTTAAATATCTATAAACCCTGAAGTTGTGAGGATTAAATGTCTATGAGTTCTGATGTGTACCTAACACGTGCTAAACAAAGAAGAATTTATACTCAGAATTATTTAAAATTTTCTCTTATTTAAAAAATTGATTCAGATATATAAATTTTATCTGATTATTTATGAGAAAATAGATTGGAATACAATTGCATAGAAATTAATCCATGGTTCAACTATAAAATAATTCACTAACCTGAATAACGAGAAGGGTGTAAAGTTTTTCTTTTTCTTTTTTTAGGGTAGTCATTCATATCTTTTCAATCTAAAAATGAAAAATTTAACAAATATGTCACAAGTAATTATCTCTTACTATTATAAAAATTCCTTCTAACCAAAAAAATGATCAACAATAAGAAATGTGTGCCACCTGAAAATCTGCTTCATAAGAGAAAGGTTAAAAAATGCTCCTGTTTATATTTTAAATTTATTTTCCTAATCAAGTTTAAAGGAAAGACTCAAATTTCTGTGTTTTTTCCTCTTCTTCTTGAGTTTGAGAACTCCAAGTCTTGATGTAATTGTGAGAATTGGGTAATTACAATAAGCTTAATGCTTAAATTACTTTTTTTTATAAAAAATAAACTGTGCCTATGATACCATATTAAGAACAAAACAGGTGCATTTTTTAAAGCTGGGAAAATTTTGATAGTTTTTAAGCAAAAGGTGAATATGGTCGCTTAAAAAAAAATATTTTCACAAATCCATATTGATTCCCTGGCTCCCAGGAAAAATATCCATCACATTGAAGCTCAAAATATAATTTTTAACAAAAAAAAAAACATTTTCTTACTTAATGAGGCACCTTTAACAATCTACTGAGAACAAAACGTATATGGCAATAATCTAATGTATAATTAAATTCTCATGGACTGTTATAAATTGACTCATTCGTTTTGCCACATTCCACTTACTGATATAGTTCTTAATATGGAAGTGAAGAAAATTGAATTACAGCCAAGTTTTCACAGATGGTAAAAAGTACCTGTAGGAAAAATATCATATAAGTCACAATGTAGTTCATTTCTGAGACTCAAGAATACAATGATACCAAGATCTTTAATCAACTGGAAAGATATACAGAATTAATTCAAGAATAATATTCTTTTGAATATGCTGTATTAAGTACTCAAAACTGTATATACTACTAAATATGTATGTGTAAATGTGTCCTATTTCTTTGAATGAATTTACCTTCTAAAGCTAAATCTTAATACCAAAATAGGAATGCAATTTTGCACAAATTTATTCAGCCATAATAAAAAAGCAAATACCAAATCACAGATTTTTACTATTTAAGTCCTTATAGTTTACTTACCAAAAGAAGAATAATGATCACTTATTGAGCACCAATTATGTACCAGGCTATGCCTTATCTTATTTTATCTTGTGATATGCAAAATCTACTACACTACCTCAAAGTCATTAGTGGTAATAGAGGCACACATTATTTTTGCTGTTTTCACCAAGTCCTGGGTATATTAGCACCACAAGGGATGTTATCATATAGTAATAAGTAGTGCCTTTTAGTTTATTGAGAATTTTTCTAACACTTATTTTATTTAATCTTCACAACAATGCTGTGAGGTACATAGAGAAGCTACTATTGGGTCTAGAGTTAATTAATGCTGTTTTTTAACATTCGTTTAAAATCTTGCTTGGCCTTGACTTGTATTGACATAACCTTCAAACGTGTGAAGTGCAATTAACAAGTTTTGCTTGAAAAAGTTTGTGTTTGGTTTGGTTTTTGTTGCAAAACTAGGGCTAAGAAGATGGCGGATGAAGAGCATATTCGGCACTGCATGCTTTACGAGTTCCAATTAGGAAGAAAAGCAAGTGAGGCTGCAAAAAACATCTGTAGTGCTCTTGGTCAAGATGCAGTTAGCGCCAGAAAATGCCAGCGTTGGTTTGAGAAATTTCGCGAGGGAAATTTTTCGTTAGATGACAAGAGTGGTCGAGGCCGTGTGTCCAATTTTGATCAAGAAGCTCTTCAAGCTCTTTTGGTGCAAAATCCTCAAATTACCCAACAAGAGCTTGCGACAACTTTAAATTGTTCACAAAAAACAATTTCCAATCAATTGCGTGCACTTGGCAAAGTCCAAAAGTTTGGAAAATGGGTTCCTCATGAGTTGACTGACAACAACCGTAATCAAAGAGTCACAATTTGCACTTCGCTCCTCTCTCGTCAAAAGCGTTTGCCGTTTTTAGAGCAAATTGTTACCGGAAATGAAAAATGGGTGCTGTATGTTAATTTGAAAAGGCGGCCTCAATGGTTGGACAAAAATGAGGCTCCGCAGCCCACGCCAAAACCTGACTTGCATGCGAAAAAAGTGATGTTGTGTGTTTGGTGGAATTTTAAAGGAATTCTTCATTATGAACTTTTGCCATCTAACCAAACCATTACAAGTGCAGTGTATAGTGCCCAATTGGAAAGGTTAGCCCAAGCTTTAAGAGAAAAAGAACCCGCGCTGATTAATCGGAAGGGCGTAATTCTTCACCACGATAACGCATGACCGCATACTGCAAGAATCTCTGCTGAAAAACTGCGCCAGTTGGAATGGGAAGTTCTCCCTCAACCTGCATATTCTCCTGATATGGCCCTTCCGATTACCATTTGTTTCGTTCTTTGCAAAACTTTCTTCTTGGAAAAAAATTTAATAATGAAGAATGCCTCAAAAATGCATTGGCCGAATTTTTTGCATCAAAATCACAAGAATTTTACAACAGAGGGATTAAAATGCTTCCTGAGTGTTGGGCACAAGTAGTAGAAAACAATGGCAACTATATTGTTGATTAAATTTTGTTGTATTGTTTAAATAAATTCGATTTAAAAAAATATTAGAAAACGACATTAACTATTACTAGAACTAATACTAAACCAACTCAATATTATTGATGATCAAACAGACTCAGTAAAAGTCAACTAAGTGGCAGAACCAGAGATTTAAAAAAACACCACAAACATGGGTTTTGAACAGCTGTGTGAGTAAATCTTCACTATCAGTCTCTGCTACCAGCAAGTTACATCTTGCTTCCAGTTCTTAGCCACCAATTTAGAGAAGGGAACCACCCAAAAAAACTGACAATCATGAGATATATAGAAATGATATCAATATATATAATGCCTCACCTAACAAATAGCATTTCTTTTAAAAAAATATATTTTATTGATTTTTTACAGAGAGGAAGAGAGAGGGATAGAGAGTTAGAAACACTGGTCAGCTGCCTCCTGCACACCCCCCAATGGGGGTGTGCCCGCAACCAAGGTACATGCCCTCAACCGGAATCGAACCTGGGACCCTTCAGTCCACAGGCCGATGCTCTATCCACTGAGCCAAACCAGTTTCGGCACAAATAGCATTTCTTGAGCCCATCCCAATCAAGTGCATTCAAAAGTAAAAGAAACACTGTTTTCATTTTTATGTAATAAACCAACATTTCAAGACTGACTTACTGTCTTTTTTACACTTCCAAAATTTAAACAGCTAAAAGTTTTACATTTCATGTTCTAAATGCTCTACAGGTAGCTGGGAAAACACTGAAAATTGGCAGCCAAACATGTTCAAGTAGCCTCTTTTTACTTCACAATACACTTCAAATTCTTTTGAATGAAGAATAAAAAGGAAAAGGAAACCGAGGACAACATTAAAATTAATGTTGCAAGCTGGCCTGGATTCTGACTATTAGGTGGAATAGGATCACCTTGATCAGAAAAAGATTTGATTCCTACTTAATGCTGAAGAGTATTTAAATGCTTATCAGACCTCCTTTCAGCGAGGTGGTAAAATGCCCACTCAAGACCAAACATTTTTAAAAATATATATTTTATTGATTTTTCACAGAGAGGTATGGAGAGGAGAAAGATAGAAAGCTAGAAACACCGATGAGAGAGACAATGACCAGCTGCTTCCTGCACACCCTACACTAGGGATGTGCCCACAACCAATGTACATGCCCTTGACCGAAATCGAACCTGGGACCTTTCAGTCCGCAGATCGACGCTCTATCCACTGAGCCAAACTGGTTTCGGCAAGACCAAACATTTTAAACCATCTTTCATTTCAGCAAAATTTTCCATGTGCTTTTTGTATGCACAACTGCCCAGATGAAGTTTAGCTTTTACTTAGGTACGTTATATAAATGTTTGCTCACTAGTCCTCACATCGTGGGGAAGATTCTGAATCAAACTATAGATACATGTCACTGCAGGAAAATTAGAAAAACATTTTTAAGTTAATCAAGTCACCTAGAATCTATACACCCAGAAAAAACAATATTAACATTTTGGCGTATAGACTTCTAGACATTTTTCTTTTCTAAGGCATACATTAATTTACACGTACAAAAATGAGATGTCACAACGATTTTAAAAAGCAACTTACAAAATACATGTCAGGCCGTGGCCAGCTTTGCTCAGTGTTTAGACTCTCGGCTAGCAGACGAAGGGTCTTGGGTTCAATTCCCAGTCAGTGGCATGTACCTAGGTTGCAGGTTCGGTTACTAGCCCAGGTCTGGTACCTGCGGGATGCAACCAATCAATGTCTTGCTCTCCCCTTCCCTCCACTCTCACTTTTTCAACAATAAGAATATTTACCCACAAAACAGACTACACATCTAAATAGGCACCACCTTTTTTAAAGGCCTTTCAGGCAATGTAAATATCCTGTTCCTAATTAGTATAAAAAAATCAAGCATGTACAAAAAATGCTACATTTTTATACTAAAGTTTTAAAACCACCGTTCTTTTCCGCATTCATTTAAAAATAATTAAATGGCCCAGCCCGAATGGCTCAGTGAGCACCTACCTAGGAGCCAGGAGGTCCTAGGATTCTGGGTCGGGGCACGTGTCCGGATTGAGGGTTTGGTCCCCAGCAGGAGGCAGCTGGTCAGGATGTTTTCCCTCCATGATGATTCTCTCTCTAGATCCCTCTCCTTTTCCTCTCATTCTTTCTAAAAAAATATCAATGAGAACATTTTAAAAACAAGTAGATGTTTTTCAGGTTTTTAAATGAATTTAAACACACACAAAAGTGTTGCAGGAGCCGGGACCGGTTTGGCTCAGTGGATAGAGCGTCGGCCTGCGGACTGAAAGGTCCCGGGTTCGATTCCGGACAAGGGCATGTACCTTGGTTGCGGGCACATCCCCAGTAGGGGGTGTGCAAGAGGCAGCTGATTGTTGATTCTCTCTCATCAATGTTTCTAACTCTCTATCTCTCTCTTCCTCTCTGTGAAAGATCAATAAAATATATTTTAAAAA